CCGTAAGGAACACTGAGCACGAAGCAGAGCATTATCCACTACGTGCTGAATGCTGCGGTTACACAGTCAAGGCCAAGGATGCCCTGGGCTCCCAGATGAGAGCGCAGGCAGGTGCAGAAGCCCAACCACACAACCTCGTCACCAGCTTAGGCTTCAAAGCAACAGATACAACAAAGAAGTCTTCCCACTTGAGGGATGAAGGCAGTCAGAATACTGTGTGTACCTCAGCACATTCAGGGAGCATTCACTACACAAACTCTGATGATAAAAACAAACATTTAAAAAAAAACTTTTGAAAACATCAAGGTAAGCCGTTAACTGCCAATATTACACTTTATGACACATTAGCGGCAAACTGAAATACAAAACTATAAACCATGCAGAAGTTACACAATCTGCTAATTAAAATTTTGAAATATATGGCCAAGATATTAGCAAACACTGATTTATAGACATTCTGCACCAATTAAATCAATATTGTGAAGTCAGGAAAAAAGGGAACCATTTTCAGATAGAATTCAAATATGATAAAGGATTTGCTTCAATAAATATTCTGAACTTAATTGACTTAAATGGACCTAGGTGCTTCTATCTATTAAAAAAAAAGTTCAGGTTGACATTACCACATCCTTGAGCTGTTTATTTATTCCCTGCTTGGAGCCTGATTTACAGGCAATAAAACGCAATCAAGAGGTACACCAGGAGCAGGAATCATCTGCTAATGGAACTTCTAATTGAGAAGTGACCAGTGACATGAGGTAATTCTTCCTAGGTAGGATCACTCTTGAAGACCTCTTTACACTTCATCACAGTAAACAATCACTAACATATGCATTAAGGAAAATTTAAATACATTATGACCCAATAAATACCATCATCAATCAATACACAGTTTTCTTCCCTTAAAGATTCAATGTTCAGGTACTACACTACTAATGCTATACTATGACATGGACTTAGGTATCGACAATTTTTAGTATGCTGGTACAAAGCTTAACCATTTATAATCAGATGTTTCACAAACTTTTAGTACCTTGGGAATTTCCATGCAAAAAGTATATCACTTTTAATTTATGGAAATAAATTAACTAATGAAGTCTGTCTAAACTTCATAATATTAAAAAGCCTTATTGAGATGAAATTTACATAAAATTCATTTTGGGGCAAAATATTTGCCTTCCTAGAGGACTTTTCTGGGTAGAATAATTGCAATCCGTTATCTTCTGGCCCTCCTGAATCTACCACTAGATAATGAGACATGATATTTATAACAATTTAAATCACAAGCAGAGGGTGAGATGAGCTTATCCCCAACTGACTTACATGTTGATACTGAGAGTGGATGATTTACACATTTAGAAAAAAAATATATTATGTATATTTCACACACAATATTTTAATAAGATTTAACAAGAATAAAATGAACACAGTCTTCTAGTCTCAAACTATGTGAGGACACTTCGAGTCTTTCAGGTAAGTTAGCAATCAAATGGCTTACTATCACTTTTGTTCCTTTTTGTTATTATCAGTTTAGAAGGTTTTTAATATAAAGATTTTAATTCAGTCAGAAGTCTGTGTGATACTCAGCGAGGAGAGAGATGTCATTTCCTATGAGCACAGACACTAAAAACAGCACAGAGCTCTGAACTGGGAACGATGGTACATTTCTTAAAATTCATTAAAGTGAGAAAATGTTCCGCTTAAAATAAATGTTTGAAATGCTACAGTGTATATGACCATGAGGTCAAGCTGGAACCATTACTAAACTTGTAGAATACTAAAGATTTAGATTATCAAAGTACTGATATTAAGAATCTCAAGAAATGAATATTAATTTGACCTATAAAATGCATCTCAGACATGAACAGAAGTGAATAAAAAATAAATACATTTTTAAAAAATCCACAATAGACTAATTTCTTTCCACCACGTCTCCTTTCATTAGGCTTTAGGTTCTACTACCGTTAACTGTGAATGAACACACATATACACCAGCAAGCTACCCCTCAGCATAAAGCTACAGCAACCCAAACAGTGCTGCACTGGCGGAAGGCGAGAGACAGGTTAGAACTGAGAGAACATCAAGACAGTGAAGGCCACCCAGAGGACATGAAGATGTACAAGTCATTAGTTGCTAAGGGATTTTAATTCACCATAAAAGAACAAATAATACGACAAAAAATGAAATTAGAAAAACAGACAATGGACTTGTACTGTTTGCAAAGACGCAGAGTTACGGGCCCTCAGGCACTGCTGCTGGGGTTGTACACAGTTGCAGACATTTTGACACAGAATTATCCTAGGCCCCAAAACTTTCACTTCTGGGTGAAAGTGAAAAACTTTGTCTATAGAAAAGTTGTACAGAAATGTCCATAGCAGCATTATTGTTAAAACCCATAAGCAGAAGCAATTCAATCATCAGAGGAATGGATAATCAAAAGACAATCTAGCCCCATAATGGAGCACTATTCAGCCATAAAAAGGAATAAAGTTTGGATACATGCTAAAACATGGATGAAACAAGAAAATCAAAGAAGCCAGTTAATAAACTGCACGGTTCCCTTTATTTGTCAAAGAAAACTTTCTCTCCAACAATAAGTTTAAGTCCTAACCTAAGCATGTGATTATCCTGGATATAGGTCTTCTCAAATAGTCAAGTCAAGGTTAGCCTCAGTCACATGATTATCACGTGACTGGCAGCCTTATTTCCCAAGTTTAAAATTAGTATACAGAACAGATTTATGCACTCCACAGGTGTAATCAAGAAGAAAACCACCATTCCCCTACTCTCCTTCCTCCCAATACCCCCTTCTCCCTTCACTATCTTCAGCATCATTTGCACAAGTATGTTAATCTATGCTACTTTCACAGACTTTATTTACCACTAATCATAATATTCAACAAGTAAAAAGTAATACCACCAAGGGAGTATAAATACAGACTAAACATGACAATCATAACCAAAGTGAATATCTGTTTCATCCTACACATTTTCTATATTTCTATATTTGCTGTTACATACCTCTGAGAGTACAGTATTTGTCCGAGACTGGCTTACAGTGCTAAGTGTATGTTTTTCAGTAAAATCCATTTTGTTGCGAAGGACAGGATTTTATTCTTTCTATGAGTGAGTTGTATTCCATAGTATATACATACTGTATTTCCTATATCTAGTCATTCATTCATGGGAATCTGGGTTAATTTCATCTTAGCTACTGTAAACTGAGCTACAATAAACATGGGTTTTCAAATAACTCTCATTTGCTGATTTCCTTTTATCTGGCTAAAGTCCCAGGAGCGGATGCTGAGTCACGCAGATCTATTTTCAGAGCTCTGAGGAATTTCCTTATTGTCTTGCATAATGGTTGCGCTAGTTTCTATTCCTACCAGCAGTGGATTAGCATACCTTACTTCCTCTGCAGCATTTGTTCTTTGTTTTTCAGAGCACAGTCATTTGATCAGCTGAAGTGGAACACCTCCATGATTTTTACTTAGACTTCTTTGAAGCCTAGTGATACGGAGCATGTTTTCAGATGCTCACATGTTTCATGTGGATCATTTGTGTTTCATCATTTGAAAATCATCTGTGCCCAGGGCCCATTTCTTAAACGGGTTGTTTGCTGTTTCCTGAGTTATCTCTATATCCTGGATACTAGCCCTTTATCAACAGCACCATCTGACAGTAACTCGCTCTCGTTCTGCTAGCTGCCTCTGCACTTGGTTGTGTTTCCTTTGCACCAAAAGCTCCTTACCTTGCTGTGATCACTCTGCTTCAACTGCCCTACTTCTGGAATCTTTTCTAGGAAGTTTTTTCCTGTATGGAGCATTTTCCTTTAGTCATTTGATGCTACCAAGCTGTAGGATCCGGATTTTGATCCATTGTGAGTAATTTTTGTATAATGTATAGTGTAGAGGTCTTGTTTCATATTTTCGCACACACTGTTCCACTTTTCCCGAGCACCATTTGTTTAAGACACCGCTCATTTTCCTTGGATTCATTTCAGGCCAACTGTCAAAAAGTAGTTGGCTACAAATCTGTAGTTTCATTTCTGGAATTTTTGTTTCGTTTCATTGATCATTAGGCTTGTTTCAGTACCAGTACCAGGCTGTTTTGATTACAACTGCCCAGCAGTAGCAAGCCTAGTACTTTGCTATCTCCAGCTTTAGTTTTGGTGTTTAAAACTGCTTTAGGTATTTTATTCTGGCAGTATGAGTATGAATACTGAGGGAATCCTTGTACTTGCACCATCCCATCACATAATTATCCTTAGTGCAATGAAGCATTCAAAGGAAAACCAAGAATCATTCATAACGGTCCAGGGGAACAACACAGATGTTTTCCTGCCATTCTGAAAAGGCTGAGGTCAAATTTCAGTTCCTGATCTGAATAATCATTACCTACATTATCTAGTATTACCTCTTATTAACATCTTATTTAACGAATTCGCAAGGAAGTTAACAGAGTATAACAAGCAGCACAATCCCACAAACAACAGATAATAAAAAATAACAATATTTTTTTGACTAGATCTGACCTGGAAAGACATAACAGGCTGCCTTTGATCCCCAAAACACACCCACAGGGTGGAGGGAGGATGGCTCTGAGGTGCCAGTGTTGCCAGCTGCATCCTTACTGATGTTCCATATTTGAATGGCTGGGAACACTTCAAACATTTCACCATTAAATACAAGGTTTCCCCTAAGTTACTAATCATCAATAATGTCAACTACGAGTAGCTCAGCAATATGTATAGTTACAGATATCTATGCTACCAGGTAACTACTGCACAGCTGGTATAAACAGCATGCTTCCTAGATCGGTCTATACTGGATAAATAATTCTTGGTACATGTAACACATAATGATGAAATGTAGTTATAAGGCAAAAAAAAAAAATATTCTTCAGAGTTCACTATAAATTACCAATGAAAATTAATCAACCATAAAGAAACAAAATGTAACAGTGTAATCTGGAAGCTATTCTATGCAGACTCCTTTACCTTTCCAAGCATTCGGCCTAGGAAGTAGTAGTGTCTGGCAAACGAATCTCCCACAAGCATCTGTGCAGCCGGGTTGGGGTACAGAAGCCCTTCATTAGTAGTCTTAAAGAACCCCTGGTTGGGGTTAAATCCTGATTTCAGTAGTTCATTTAAAAATTCTCTGAAAATACCACCACCATCAATTCCAGCTTCATCCAGGCCATGGGCATTGAGTAAATGCACACGAATGCGCTTTTTCAAATCAGGTTCTGTTCAAGTGAAAAGGCAAAAGAAGATGTTTAATTAAAGTCATTGGATAAACCAGTAATCACAAGAATTTTAGAGAAGGGGAGTAAGAGGAATATTAAGGACATTTTAAAACACGACTCAAAGACGCAATGATATTAAAAAGAAATAACGATTGACGGAGACACTTCCCATAGTATGGTATATTTACAAAAGGATGTACTAAAAATGAAGATGGGAGAAAGAGACTGAGAAAATGTAAGGTCATTACCCATATTCTAAAGGCTGTGACAGACTAAAACATTTGCAGAGAAAGGGACTGGAATTGGAATGTAGAATGGCACTAACACATCATTATTATAGAGAAAATCACTGGCAGCCAGTGATGTTAGTATTAAAAAGCTGCTTGGAGGGGGAAAATCAGTGCTGCAGAACCTATATGGCCTTTTGAAAGCTATACTGCTGAAAAGCAAAGAAGGTGGGGGGAATTAATGAATGGTTATATGATTTGCTGCAAAGATTAAAATTACAAAGCTACCCAACTAACACAGATTTCCCTAAAGAGACAGCAAGCCCCTCAACTTGTTAGCAGTGAATACAACAGGTCTTCAATACAGGCTTCACGGTATAATCCCTAAATAAAAGTCAGTAACAATGCGTGCTGGATTGAAACAGGTCACTCCATAGGTGTTCTGCAAAAGGAAAGATTGCAGGAGAGGGAGAGACGGGGAGGGCGAACAGGGGAGGGCCACCAGGAGCGGATGGACAGTCAGGAGAGAAGCCTTTACCCCTAAGAGCTGCCGTCATCCACACGGACCTGACCCGGGGCACGTGCAGGGCCCAATGATCTCTAGAAACGAGTTCAGCACAACATGTGATGTCAAGCTGCCAAGTAATCTTCTCAAAGCCGCATTTTTCTGATTATTCCTATGTACAAGTCACAGCTTCAAAGCTGCAGTGAAAGCCATCTATAACATCTTCACACAAATCAAACTACTGGGAGCTATCACCCAAGGTTCTGATTGCCAAGAAAAACAACCTAGTTGCTGATGAGACCAGACGGAGCCATCCCTATATTGCCAACACCAACAAAGGCATCCCCTGCCATGCCAAGTTATCCTCATGGAATCAGCGTAAACAATGCACATCACTTGCAAACTATCTACTAGGAAGGCAGAGCGACCCAGATAGAGATCAACAGAGAGGGTTTTTTTCCTATTTGCTGATTCATTCCCCAAAAGACTGCAACAGACTCGGCTGAAGCCTGGTTTCTCCTCAGCACGACGGCAGGAGGCTGGTTCAACAGCGGAGGAGGGACACAAACTGACACTATGCTAAGAGACACGATAGCACAAGCACTGTGCCACAGCACTGGCCCTGCAAGCTATTTAAAATCTTTTTTTTTTTTTAATTGGAAGGGCAGATATACAGAGAGAAGGAGAGACAGAGAGGAAGATCTTCTGTCCTATGGCTCACTCCCCAAGCGGCTGCAATGGCCAGAGCTGAACCAATCCGAAGTCAGGAGCCCAGAGCTTCTTCCTGGTCTCCCAGGTGGGTGCAGGGTCCCAAGACTATGGGCCATCCTCGACTGCTTTTCCAGGCCACAAGCAGGGAGCTGGATGGGAAGCAGGGCCACACCAGGATTAGAACTGGTGCCCTTATGGGATCCCAGCACATGGCAGGCAAAGACTTTAGCCATTACACTATCACGCTGGGCCCCATTTTAAAATTTTAAGCAGTAGATTAGGAAATTCTGAATTTCTTAATTGAGAAAGGTCCTTAAGAAAAAAAAAAACTTAAAAAAACCTTCTCTTCCACCAACACACACTCAGGTCCTAGAGCGTCTAGAAGCCCTCAAACGTGTAACATTCTCACCCTTTAAAGACTACCACCAATCTTTAAAATTCATTGTTCTATCATATGTTTATTCCCCAAAACTATAGATACAATCACAAATTCTCCAAACATCTGTAATACTAGGTATATGCAATAAACAAGGAATATAATTCTACGATTCTATTCAGGCTGCGAGGACTGCATATTCACCTAAGAGACATATCGAGAAAATCTACTTACAAAACAATAAAACTTAAGAATCGTAAGAATTGATTTTGAGGTACTACAGGACCTCTAAAGAGAAAACTATTTTTTTTAATTTAATTCTTGATGATGTTTACATAACTGAGAAGAATATACAAACTGTTTTTTTTCCCCCCAAAAAATAAGTTCACCTATAGTCCCAATTAGATAAATAGTCAGACAGGAGTCTTCATTTTTATTTGGTCTTATTTGAAAATACAATATCCTAGGAAACAGAAATTTGGCATGGTGGAGAGTTCACCCGAGGGTGTCTGGTACAGCAATGAAGATGCAGGTTGGGCGCTGGCATTCATACCACAGTGCCTGCATTCACTTCCTCACTTGACGTCAGATGCCAGCTTCTGTAAGACACAGCCTGGCAGGCAGCAGAGACGGCTCAACTGCTTGCGTCCCTGTTACCCATGACAGACCCGGATGAGTTCTGAGTTCTTAACTTTGGTCTGGCCGAGCTCAGATTTAATGAGCCTCAGGGGAGCAAACCAGAAAATGGATACGGCAATTAAATTATGTTAAATGACTCAGTTCATTACATTGGCTTTAGAGGGTGATGGAATAGATTAAATGACATAAAATTATATATAAAACAAACCCTGGAAAAGAGAGAGGGTATAGCTAGTATCAACTTTCTTCAACTGTTTCCGCATTATGACAGAATTGGCTCTTTAGCTAAGCAATAACAATCATTAAGAACAAGTGATTGTTTTCCAGGATGAAAATGGAATTGGTCCCCTAGAAGTAAAGCAACTGTTATTTCACATGTGACAGCCTACCATCAATCAAAGATGTGATAGGAGCTTTTATTTCAAATGAGATGCTATCTAAGCATGATTTGATGTAGTATAATGAAAACGATACTCTGAAGTTAAAATTGTTAACAGTAAGTTAATAATATCAAAACGTCTTAATAGCGACTGTCATGCATTAATAGAACATGTCACTGATGCCCAGATGCTTTGCAAATTACATGATTATTTTACTAGTATTACTATTAGGATAATAGATTCTTATAAACTTAGATTGAAATAGCAATTATTTTAGCATATATAATTTAGGCTTATAATTGATATTGATATGAATATAAACTTACATAAAAATATAAACTCTGTCATTGCTGGACAATGATTAGACTGGTACTCAATATGCTGGCATTCTATCAGAAAACCAGTCCTTCCCCTCCCCCCCCTTTTATATATATAAAGGAAAAAAAGGAAAGGCAGATTTACAAAGAGAAGGAAAGACAGAGAAACATTACCCATGTCCTGGTTTACTCCGCATGTGCGTTCAACAGCCAGAGCTGAGGTGTTCTGACACTGGGAGCCAGGATCTTCCTCTTGGTCTCCCATTGTGTGTGCAATGTTCCAAATTCTCAGGTCAATAGCAGGGACCTGGATGGGAAGTGGAGCAGCCAGGACACAAACTGGCACCAGGACGGGATCCCAGTGCTTACAAGACAAACATTAAACCAACTGAGCCACCACACCAGGCCCTAGAACACCAATTCAAGCCCTGGCTGTTCTGTTTCTGATCCAGTTCCCTGTTAATGTGTCTGCAAAGGCATTGGCAAATGAGCCCAAGCATTTGGGGTACCAATCACACGGGAGACCAGGATGGAGTCCCTGGTTCCTGGCTGTTGGGGCCATTTGGGGAATGAACCAGCGAGTGGATTACCCTTTCTCTGTCCCTAACTCTCTATTAATCTAGCTTTCACATAAGTAGACAAATTAACAATAAAAAACATGGAATGTAAATGACTACTATTAACACTTTTAGAATTATAGGCAGCTAACTCTAAGTTATATAGGCAGACAAAGGAGACAATATGGAGAAGAGTTTAATTTCTTGCCTTTAAGAGAAAAATCAGAATTTAAAAAAAGGCTTCCTTGCAATAATTCAATTTTAGAAACATGATTTAATAATACTTAATTAAATGTTCAAAATTTTAGTTTGTGTCATTATAGGAGAAGTCAGTGTGTCTTGAAGTGAGGGCACTGGCAAGGAAGCCTGGGTCCCATTTGCATCTGCATTTTTTTTTTTTTTTTGCAAAGTCAGATATACAGAGAGGAGGAGAGACACAGAGGAAGATCTTCCGTCCGATGATTCATTCCCCAAGTGATCACAACAACTGGTACTGCGCCGATCTGAAGCCAGGAACTTCCTCCAGGTCTCCCACATGGGTGCAGGGTCCCAAGGCTTGGGTCCATCCTCGACTGCTTTCACAGGCCACAAGTAGGGAGCTGGATGGGCATTGGAGCCTACAGGGGATTTCGGCATGTTCAAGACGAATAGGCCACCACGCCGGGCCCTGTACCTGCACCCTTGATTCTAGCCTCCTGCTCAAGAACCACTTCTGGGAGACAAAAGAATGATCAAGCAGGAGTGCCCATTTCTCAGATTCAACCTTGTCTAGCTCTGGACCACTGCGGGTATTTGGGGAGTGAATCAGCAGAGGGAATCCATATCTCCTTAGTAAATAAATGAGTAACATAAAATAAAACGAAATACCAAGTCACTACACAACAAGACAGTGGACACCATTTTTAAAAATTGTCACCTTTTAAAACAATTCCCGTACTTTCCTCCCTTCCACCATATACATACCATTTTCTGGGGAGAGTTTGTCATAAGCATCTTCATAAATGTAATTTCTTCTTATTGTGACATTAATTCCATCCAGAAATGGACCATCTCCTTGAACTTCTTGCTTATCTGCATAAATTAATCTTTGAAAGATCTAACAAATAGGGGAAGTTGTGGGGTGATTAGAAATAAGACTTTTTGCTGTAAAGATAACCAAAAGGAAAAGAAGCTAAATAAATTCCACAATTTCACAAATAATTGCCTGAAATTATTTTCACTGATTTTTATTTCTTTGAAAAAGCAAAGAGACAGAAAGAGATAGACAGAGAGCCAGATTTCTTTATCTGTTGGCTCACAGCATAGGGCTCACATGTGCCTCCAATAGCACAGATGGGCCAGGACAGGCCAAAGCCAAGAGGTGGACACTCCATCTGGGTCTCGTCACCTATGGCCTCTATGGTTTACATGGGCAGGAAACTGGAGGGAAGCCAGGAATCATTCTGATACAGGATTTGGGCACCCTAAGAAGCGTCTTAGCTACATTTGAAATATAGAGTTCATATATCAAATTTCTATAAATATATGTATAATATTTAAGTATTTCTCTAAAATTTTTTTTTCTATTTTATTTTTAATTTTATGGTACAGTTCCATACACTAATACTTAAGTATTTCTAATGCTATTACTACTGTAAGATTCCAAAACTCCTATGCTATAATATACGTCATTTACAAATTCCTAAACAAAAAATGAACAAAACTTAGCAGAGGTTACAAGGCAGAACACCTTTGTGAAATGTGCATTCGAATGCCAGTGTGACCGCCTCCAGGAGGACGAAATGAACCAGCAGAGGGAGCCGAGGCATTAAGCAATAGTGTGTATGCGGGCAGTTCCTAGTGAAGAAGGATCAAGTGCTTCATGCAACTCTGGACACATGACATGGCCTAGGCACAGGCCTGCATCCTATTACAGAGTTCCTCGTCCCAGTTCCTACTGCAGCTACCAACTTCCTACAGTGCAGATGCTGGCAGACAGAGGTAATGACTCAATGAGTCGGGTCAACTCTACCCATGTGGTAGCCCTAAACTCTACCCACGCGGTAGTCCAAAGCTCGTGGCGTCAGTTCTGGACACAAGGGGTCTTTGAACAGTGAGAGGATGGGAACATTCTTTCTACGTCTACCTCTGTATTTATCTTTAAAACAAAACAAACAAAAAAAGACAATCCTTTAATCCTTAGTACGTGTGAAAATACCCTTTAAATATCCTTTTTGAAGAAATAATTCAAAAACACAATCCAGTAATTTTCAGAAATCTGTCAAATGTATCTTAAACACAAATTAAACATATTGAACCAAAATGGAAAGCATGAAATTATAAACAGTTTTATACATTTGTGAAAATCATCAAGCATGGAATTGATAGCCATCTATTCATGCATATATTTATATATGTAAAGTATATATGTAGTGCTTGTGATACAACTCTAATATGATTTTATAGAAGCACCTTTACTCAAAAATTTCATTTTCCTAACTATGTAGAATTTACTAGAGAAAGAGGACTTTACATCTGTACTTTAGGAAATCTGCAATGTACAATGCCTTTCAATCAGTTGCAGATAAGAAAAACCACATTGTTTGTTTACAGCCGAACTTTCTAGGGTTTCTATAAATGTTAACTTCCACACCTAATAAGTGAAACAGAAACTGAAACAGAGAAGACACTTGCTCATTTTCGGGGCTATTTTTGTCTGGCTGACTTTCCAAACCAAAATGATGCCTGATGTCAACATACACTGGTTTAACCAATCAAGAAACCAACGACATACCTTCACCCGCTCCTCAAACGGAACCACAAACGGCAGTTCTGTCAGGATGGCAAGCTGTCTTTCCTCAGACACAGACAGCGGTGGGGACTCCAAACCCACTATAGTACATTAGAAAACACAATTAGTTCATTTGTCCCTTCCTTCCCATTTGCATTGCCAGTTGCTAAGGTCAGGATCAAGGGACATGTGCTCTATCCCTCCCCAGCGCACAGCTGGGCGTGGCTGTACAGTGAATACTCAGCCTTTTCAAGCTCATGTTGAGGAAGAGGAATGCTTTGTAGAAGTTTCATCAGTTCATTTATTAACTTTCATTGTGGTTGGTTTTATGCTCTGTAAACCAGTGAAGGCCAGAACATAAACTTTGTTGAAGTGTTCTGAACTGTACCGCATACTTAATCACTCAGATGTACTGAGGGAGTAGTGCTGACTTCTAACCATGCTACAAGTTAGAATCCAGTAACTTCCAACATCTGTAATGGCAACTGCACCCAAGGGAGCCAGTCCTTACAGCGTTTTAAGTGCATAGCTATCTCTGCACCAAGGAACCTTCTTACCCTTTCAAAAGCCCATTCGGCTTTGAATCCTAATATAAGCTTTGCTTATAACCTCAAAATACATTCTGGAAGGTTCAATTTTATAAGGGCATTAGATTGATTCCCAGCTGCTCCACTGCTAATGCCCTAGAAAAGCAGCAGGAGGTGGGCCCTGTCCCAGGGGGAGACCCCGATGAAGCTCCTAGCTCTGGTCTAAGCATGGTTCAGCCCTGGATGTTGTAGCCATTTGGGGAGTAAACTGGAAATGGAAGATCCTCTCTCTGCCTCTGCTTCTCCTTCTGTTGCTGTGCCTTTCAAATAAATAAAAAAATCTTTTAAAAAATTAATTAATAGGAAGTGGGAATAATATACCATTTTTAAAAAAGATGTGTTTTGATTGGAAAGTCAGATTTATAGAGAAACATCTTTTCTCTGCTGATTCACTCCCTAAGTAGGTGCAACAGCCAGAGCAGAGATAAGCTGGAGCTGCGCCAATCTGAAGTCAGGAGCCAGAAAGCTTTGGGATCCCACAGCTTTTTTGGGCCATCCTCAAATGCTTTCCCAGGACACAAGCAGGGAGTTGAATGGGAAGTTGGGTGTCGGGATTAGAACCGGCACCCGTATGAGATCCAGGCACATGCAAGGCAAGGACTTTATATGCTAGGTTACCATGCCGGGTCCAAAATAGACTTTTTAAAAAGAAGAAAAACACTAAATATCTTGATTTAGATTTAAATAGTAAAGCCTGTGCTCATTCACACAAATTTTATTCTCTACCTACCTTTAAAAAAAACAGCAACTTTTATTTAGCAGGTCAATTAAGCATGCATAAACATTAAGCTATCTGATATAAGAATCTAAAGCCAGATGTCTTAATTTTTACTAAAACGAACAGTAATCTCATAAGGAGAATTTTCACAAAACATCAAGCACATTAAAAGATATTCAACATTGTCAGCTGGGAAATAGAAACTAAAACACAAAAAGACATCATTATACAATTTATAATGGTTGAAGCATTTTTAAAAAATTATAATACCAAGTGCTCAGCTGGGATATAGATGAACTAAAAATCTCACGCATTGCTGACCTGAATGAAAAATGGAACCTCCACTACGAAAAACACTTACGCAGTTTTGCACAATGTGTAACAGATAGTTGCTATATCATTCAGGATTCCTACTCTTATATATTAATCCAAGCGAAAATTTTCAAAAGCTAACACAAAAATCTTTACCATGAGACTAACGAAAAATTGTTGAACCAAAAGGAAGCAACTGTGTGTTTGTGCAGCCTCACATCCCTTACATACATTGTGCTGAGTGAAAAGAAGCCAGACTCAGCAGACTATCAACACCTCAGGATTCCATTCAGACACCCGGGACACAAGGGCGGGGGAGAGGCCAGCCCCCGAGAACTCACCCTCCAGGGTGGACTGCAGTGGGCCGATCCTGCCCATGCGCCGAAACCGCCACACGTGCCTGGAGGCTGGCACGTAGAGCTGGGTGACCTGTGGGAACAGCAGCCTGGATTCAACACTTTCTCTTTCCAGCGCCATTGATCCCTGGTCAACGTCAATCGCAATCAGTCTGGTATTTATGAATAACGACCTGGTAATCTCCCATGCCCCTTTCAAGCCTTTCTCTCTTATGCTGGCTACCCTTTAAGGTTTAGGATAGGATATTTCCATTTAAGGCTTTTTGTAATGTTACTAGCTCATATCCCTTATTTTTTGTTCTTAAGCAAGCTGTACCCAATTGTAATTATATTTTATTAAGGTTCAGCCGACACTTTTTTCTTCAGCAAAACTTCCACGAATAAGCAAAAGATGCAGTGATGCGTATTCCAGCATTAGTCTTGGTCAAGGCCCAGGGCCTAACCTGTTCCTGGAGCAGTACATCTTAGTCTATGCGACAGGAGTGCCTCACGCCAGGCTGCAGGGCCTGGCCCGGGCTGGGAACCAGCTGCCATATCCCAGCCATTTCTACTCTCAGCCTGAGCCTTGGGCCTTGGAGCCGCGGACTCTGTTGGATCCATCACCATCTTTAGCATCAATGGGCAGAGCCAGAAGCGATATCTTCATTTAAGGATGAACTACCTCATGAGGACACAAAATTGTTTAGGTAACTGTTCTTCCTTTTCCATAAATGTTTCCTCTAATTCTCTCCACTCCCTGCCTTCCACCCCCAGCACTCTGAAATAGCACAGTAATGGTTTTCTCTGAAAAATAAAGATAACATTTCAAATCCATTGTGAATGTTCTTCGCATTTTCCAATGTGGTACTCATGGAATCTGATTTGGATGCAGAGCTCAACGGTATGCAAAGTTTCTCTGCTGCTTCAGAAAATCACACACAAGCCAGAAGAACTGAATATACACTTATTTTTTAAAACCAGTAAAAGCTAAAGATTTTTCAGCACTAAATAATAATCATAAGGTTTCAATAGATTTTAAAGTTTAAGATTAATAAAATTAACACATAATTTAGTTCAATAACACGGTATTAATACTTAGTTCTAATGAATTAAACAACCTTAAAGGGCTTAATCACCCTATAACTTAAAAGATGGAAAAAAATTCTAAACAAAAATATTGACAAGGAATTTCAGTAACACCTTATCTGCTTTAATATCTTCCTGTTCAGACAGCCAGTGGTTTGGAGGACAAAAATTCCTTCTTGTGTCTCTGGACTTTAACATTTTCACTAGATTTGTGATCACCTGAAAGAAAGACAAGGTGTGTGTTACACAAAGAAGTTCAGAAATGACCAGATCAAAAGCAAGCAACAGCCCTGAGCAGCTGTCAGCGGAGCGGGGGACGCTCCGGCACCTGAGCACTCCAGCCAAACAAGCCTCGGGAAACGAGACCTGGCCAGAGGCCCCAAGAGTTGACAGAAAAAGATTTTCTTCTGGCTTCATAGGAAAGTGCTGCAAGTACAAAGCTATTATCTGTCAACAAACAGAGGAAAAGCTAATATAACTGAGTATACAGGATGACTTTCTTTTAATGACAAGGGAGGGGCACTAGTTGAGATGGCGGCTGCGATAAGTCTGGATTTACTCTGTGGCTCCAACTCCCGACAAGGTCTTGCCAAGCAGATCCTGGAAGGCAGCAGGTGACAGCCGAGTAGCTGCTCCCTGCCACCGACAGGACAGAGCTGGGATGAACCCCGCTCCTGGCTTCTTGCTGGCTCAGCCTTGCTATTCCAGGAAACAGGAAGTGAACTGGCTCTATCTCCCCATCTCTCTGCTTCTCAAAGAAATAAAGAAAATTATAAGGCAGGTGGCGGCTAAGTTTTGAAATACAAATTTAGCAATGTATCAGCTCATCTCAGTTAGTACTGCCATCCTCTAAAACAATTTCCAAAGCTAGAACAGCATTTCACAATTTTCTAAGAAATATCACATCAAGGGTGCTGACAGAAAAAGAGAAGCATCTTAGATATTCCTCTCAATTCCAAACAGAAAAATAATTTGAATGTTTTTCTAATATTAGCCACTGGGCTCATATATACCACCAATCATAATTTTATAAATCAGTATGCTCTCAGTAAAATTTTCTAAAACAGGAGCTGTTGTAGTGGCACAGTGACTTAAGCCGTTTCCTGAAACATCAGAAGCAACTAGGGGCCAGTCCCACCACTGCACCTCCAATGCAGTTCCCTACCAGCGCATCTGGGAAAGCAGGGCCACAGACCTCAGCCCCTGAAACAAGCAGGCAGATTTAGAAGCGGTTCTGGCTTCCTGGTTTTTCCAGGTCCAAACTCTGACTGTTGGAGCCTTTTGTGGAGTGAAGCAGATCAAAGATTTTGTTCTCTCTCTCTTTTGGAAACTAGGACTTTAAAGTAAACAAATTTTAAAAATTCTTATTATTATTTAAAGAAAATCTCAAGTGTCTGGCCCGCAAATTTCTGCTACAAAACCTGACACAACAGCCTAGTGGCTAAATCTTTGCCTTGCATCTGCCAGGATTGCATCTGAGCGCCAGTTTGTACCCCCAGCTGCTCCACTTCCCTTCCAGCTCCCTGCTTGTGGCCTGGAAAAGTAGTCAAAGTCAGCCCAAAGCTTTGACACTCTGCTCCCATGTGCAAGACCCAGGAGAGGCTCCTGGCTCCTGATTGGCTCAGCTCCAGCTGGTGTGGGCACTTGAGGAGTGAACCAGGGGCAGAGGATATTTCTTTCTGTACATTTTTTTTTTCAATAAAAAAAAATTTTTAAAAGAGGTCCAGCACAGTAGCCTAGTGGCTAAAGTCTTTGCCATGCATGTGCCAGGATCCCATATAGGCACTGGTTCTAATCCCGGAAACTCCACTTCCCATAAGCTCCCTGCTTGTGGCCTGGGAAAGCAGTCAAGGACGGCCCAGAGCCTTGGGACTCTGCACCCGTGTGGGAGACCCAGAAGAGGCTCCTGGATCTTGGCTTAGGATCAGCTCAGTTCCAGCCATTGTGGTCACTCGGGGAGTGAATCAGTGGACAGTTCTTCTCTCTTTTCCTCTGTAAATATGCTTTTCAAATAATAATAATAATAATAAAATAAATCTTTTAAAAAAAATTCAGCTACATTATCACAGCTTGGTCTTTTATCATATGTGTGTCAACAAGTTATTATTCGACTATGACTGGTGGTAGGCCCTTAAAAAAATCCTACTTAGGCACTTAACGACTGCTGCAGCATCACTAATTATTTATAAATTTTATAAGGCATGGCTAAGTATATGAAATAGCACCATTTTAAAAAGTCAGTCTTTACATGGAAATGTATTTGGTACTAAATGAAGATAAGCCAAATTGTAAATCCACTATTTTAAACCAGGATTTTTTTTTTTTAATACACTTCAATCATGCTTAAGTAAGACTCTGATGATGTTTTCCTTTTTCTGTAAGGATTTACTTATTTATTTGAAAGGAAAAGTGACAGAAAGAGAAAGAGAGAGAGTGAGTTATCTTCCACCTGCTGGTCTACTTCCCAAACAGTGCAAACAGCCAGGCCTGGTCCAGTCTGAACACAGGAGCCAGTGCCTTCATTCTGGCCTCCCACATGAGGGCCAGACCACGTAGCAGGCCTTCTTCTGTCACTTCTGCAGGGACTTCAGCAGGAAGCTGACCTGGTTGTACCACAATGGCTGTTCCTGTGATGAGATTTTTTGGAAGTGTGTACATACTAGTTAAATAAAATATAACTTGGATCGCCACAGGAATAACAAAATTGGTGTTATTTGATGTATTTCCAAACTATCCACTGGAAAAAAATCAAGATTACAAAATCTCAATTTTTAACAGCTCCCTTTATAAACTCTAATTAACCATCTAATGTACAATAAAAACACAAATGTTTCTTTCATGAAATTTAGTACATCCATGAAAAAAGAGTGAGAAAGGATCTTTGGTTGATGTCTCAGGACGTTACAAACACGTGTGCATGACTTACGCTTGGCCAAGGAGACAGTAACACCCTGAGCACTTTACTATAGCTTTACAAGACAAAGCTACGTTAGTAAAAACTTCTCAACAAGATCTGAAAACAGCTTCTTTTAATTTGATTATTAGTTACTCTAATACATAGTCAAAAAGGAAAATCAGACTACTAAAGATAAAATCAGATACTCCAGATTTCTAAGAACAAGATATGCATACATTCATTTCTACCTTTTGGTTTATGGAGGCAGTTATTGATTTTATGCTAGGGTAACAATTAGGGCACTATTACTGTTTTAATTATTTTCACCAAATATAAAACAACCTCACACGAATCACGCTCACCCGTAGATCTCTCTACACGCACACAAACGGAGAGGACAGAGCAGGAGGGCCCAGGAGCCTTCCCCCTTATTTCGCTAACACACTGTTCTCTGAGCTAACTGCTGTTTAGTAGCTGCAAACACATTCCAAAATAAGATCTCCTATCTCCTCAAAGAGCTAAAGCAATTATAGCTATAAATTACACTTCAAGAGGAGTTTACAAATTTGACAAATGCACAAACTGTTTTAGTAGTGTCAATGCAGGGCTTAGAAACTGACCTCAATTCTTATGGTGACAAAGAAAGATGGCTCTATGCACTTAAAATTCTAGGTCTGTGACCAGCCAATAGAGCCTCTCACACAAATTGGCTCGGGAAGACCATCATAAGACTGAAAAAGGAAAACGGCTGGTGTTGAAGGAGTCAGGTCTCATCATTTGCAATTCTGTCAAAATTAACAGAAGGTAGAAAATAATTGGCAAACTGCTTTTACCTTCTTTGGTTGACAATACCTTAATTCTTCAAATTTGGCATAGTAATTCATAAAAAATGGAAATGAGATTTTATGTTACTGCTAGGTACATGTCCTCATCATTACCATGTCTTCCTTCCCAAATCATTCCGATTAAATGAATTCATATGCAAAGATCTCAGCACATTGTCAGCACACAATAACCAGGCAGGTATACATTCTTATTATTTCTAATAACAGCTATTCTCAAGGTTAAGTCCTGACTTTATTGGCTTGGGGCTCAATTCCAATAACAGGTAGTATGGTCTGGGGATGTGACAGGGTGGTTTCAAAAATGCACCTTCAAATAATTCTATCTAAAAACCAATAAAATCTCTGAAATAACATCTAAAAACCTGGAAGAATCATGTATACAAAAAAAAATCGAATTTTCATTTAATTCTTAAGAGTTTCATTAATTAAAGTAACAATGACTCATACTGGGATATAAGAAAAAAATTAACTGCAAGATTTTTATTTGATGTTAAGTAAAGCAAAATGGGGTTGAAGTTAAATTTTTTTTTCTAAAACTGATTTTATTAGAAAAAGAGAGGGAGCGTGAGGGATGTCTGCCATCTGTTGACTCACTCTCAAAGCTGCAGCACACAAGGCTCAGCCAGGCGGAAGCAGAAGTGCAGGGCAGCACTCAGGTCCCCTGGGAGTGAGGGCACGGGCCCAGCTGCCCGAGTCATCACTGTGTCCCCCTCCCCCGGGGTGCACCTTTGCAGACTAGAACATAACCGCTGAGCTGGGCCGTGAACTAAGGTACTCCAACATGAGATGCTCTCAACCCAAGCAGCAGCTTAACTGCTGTGCTAAACACCCACCTTGGCAAATATCAGATACAGCATTATTAAATTAAGAGGTTGTTATGGCCAAAAGATAAGACTGTCATATGAAAATTATGAAACCTCCAATAGGTGCTATAAAACAATGGAATTATCTCATACTGTACACAAAACCCGCTATCTTACTTAATGGAAAACTTTATTAACAAAGATGTCAGAGTTTAATTAAATATTAAAAGGAACACACATATGCTATCATAATACCCACATCCAGGAAAGGATTACATAAGAATCACAAATTCACACGGGCAAAATAACTTATTTTTACCTTGGAAAAGTTGCAAAACTGTCAGTCTTAAAGAATGGATCTATTAAGGGCTCAACGTATGACCTTCTAAGTTTACTTGGAAATATAGAGATGAGTAATTAAAATAAATTGTGCAAACATATTACATCAATCTGCACAAATTATAACTTCAGTGCTGCGTTAGTACTGTATTCAGTGCAATCAAAACATTATCAGTTCCTCTCGCTGCTGCTAATGCTCACGCTCGTAAGTGAAATGTGTTGTAAAACCAGGCAGAATGGGCTGCAGGGAGACTCTCGTGGGCTTGTAGGATGAATAAGCATTCCTTAATTAGCCCATCAGGTTAAGTGCAAGCATTAATGGGCCTTTCCTAAAGTCTAGCTTGACATCTTTCGCCAAACATGGCCAAGAAGAAAGTTCCATTAGCAATATTAATACAAGCTTAGTTGATCATTTTCATTCAATTAACTTCTTTCAATTAAATAGATAGCTTGACAAAAGCAGTGATAGAAGACCAAAGGGGCAGCTGATGGCTCGAACTGAACATGAGTGTGTGAGGGTCGCTGGTGTTAAACGGACTATAAATCCAGCACTCAATTTGGAAAATGCATTTCTTTTGCTCTCACTGCTTTAATGGGCAGTTTTAGCTGACTGGAAGTGTTTGCTGCAGAAATTTCATGGGAAGTCAAGCACCCTTTTTTGCTGTTATTCTGCTCCAGTAGTTAGATTTTTACTGGTGGTTTCAACATTCCACTCATGGTGATTCCTAATTTTTCTTTCTACATGACTAAAAATAAAAATATTTCAAAATAATTAACATACAAGTCATGCTTAAAATTAAATGACTATTTAACTTTAGTAAATAAAGAGACTGCTTTGTGAAAAAAAATTTTTTTTTTAAATTTTCTTATTCATTCCTCACATTGTCACAAAAAGTTCTTTAGGTAATTTGCAAAAGATCTCTCTATATAATAATATATAACTAATGCTGCAAAATGTGACAGATAAAAACAAACATTTTTCTTAACTAAAAAGATTTAAAAATTAAATATCCAAAACAAATCCTGTATTTTCACTCTCCTGTAATGAGTCAAGCCAAGCGAAATTTGTATATAATTCAAACTCAGTAAGAAAAAAATAGATAGCTTGTATACCTTAAATAACTGAATCCATCGCTTTTGCTCCATCTGTATACATTGTTGCATTTCAGAACTGGTAGTAACTCCAATACTTTGAAATGCTGTGATGTATTCTTCTCGCACTTCTGGCTTTGTTTCTGGATATGCCAGCTTGATGATCCCCAGGCATGCATCCCGAAGGCAGCGAGACAACACGATCAGCTCTTCCAAAGTAAAAGGCATCATTGACGATTGTCTGTGACCTACAACTGAATTACAAAAGCCAATTTTATAACACATGCACACCTTTCCTTTTCACAACACACATTAAAGGCTTCACAGACATTACAACTTTCTATGACATAAAAACCAACAGGCCACAGGGCCAGCAATGAATTGACTGCTCAAAATTCTCACCTTCGATCGGATCACCGAAGAATTCATTATCATGAATAGAAATCAGTGAGTGACTAAACAAAGAGCTAAAAAGGTAAAACAGTGGGATGATTCGACTAGAATCTTCAAAAGACATTGGAGAACCCCTTGATATCACTTGAAGTAATGGTACCATAGACCTTGAGGTAGGGAAAAGAAAAAAAAAGAAAGTTACTTTAAGTGGTTTAACATATAAACTAATTAAGAAATGACACTAAATATAAACAAAAAAAGTAACATTTACATAAATCAACTACTCAGAGAAAAGATAGACTATGATAATACAGGATAATAAACAACAAATATTAATGACAAATGGCATATCCATCCACTGCTTTCTCTAATTTGCCTTTTACTTATATAAATAAAACTATCCCCAGTCTCCTCCACTTAACATTTTTAACAAAGGTAAGACATTCTGATCTCATGAAAAATGTACATAGCTACTAACATTCAAGTAGTTCAATCCTAAAGTCAGGTAAGAGCCTTCAGGAACACAACGCCCTCTCCAGTCTCAGCCTTGGTTCTGCTTCCTGAGTGCACCTGCTGCTCTGGCTAAAGCTCCTCTTCCTAGGAGCCAAGTGACCACTCACACAGCGCTAAGATGGAGCAGTTTGCAGGGAATGTTGTTGTCGCTTTCAGCCACCAATGACTACAATTTATTCTTGCACCTGGAATTTGCTCCCTTTCTCTCTCATTTCATAGAACCAATGGCACACTGAGCTAACAGGTTCACTCAGAAGCTCTTTCTCATTTGTAAAGCCCCAGTGGCTTCTCCAGCATCAATCTAAATCAACAGTGAGCCACCCGATTCTGTGGGTAAGTTCACCTTCTCACCTCTTTAATATACATATATTTTGCCCCACAAAATTAAATGTGTCACCTTAGAGAAGATCTGACCAGGAGTAAAAACCCACTAATGACCTGACAGCCAAGTAGAAAGAAGAGACGCCAATGGGGCCATGGCGAGCTGGTCTGTGTAAGCTCCATCGTGTGCAGCTCAAAGGTGGGCTCTGCCTTTTGCAGTGTGAGGGCAGCAGGGACTGCAGTGCCCAGCTCCACTCCCCACTGCTGCCGCCACCCTATGTATCCAAAATGCCTGATCTGTACTTGTAGCTGCCACACTTCCCAGTCTGCACCACGCTAGGAGACTTCTTGAATCAACGAACAAAGGCACTCACCCAAAAAATAAAAGCAGTAGAAACAGATAAAGAGACAAAATACAACTGCCCTCATTGCCAAAGCCAAGATGGCAGCGATCTATGTGCCAGCCTGTCCTGCGAGAGCAGACGCTCTCAGCCCTCCCAGGCCCATGCCCCACACGCCCGCTGCTGGCCCTCCACACAGTGGCAGACAAGGGAAAAACAGCACCTAGTAGCTCTCAGCACCCTCCCTACTAAACACTGAGCCAAGCATTTCCTCAAAGTGATGAACAAGAGTTCATCCATTACTCCTACCAAAAATACTGGTATTTAAAATTATCATCATCATCATCTCGCCAGTCGTGCACAAAGCTCTTACTTTAGTTTCTAAGAAGATTAAGGCAATAAATCAAAATCAACTGGTTCTCTTGAAACTAGGGAACATTTACCCTGTGGGCTTCATCAGACCGGTAAAATCACTTGAACTGGCCCTGTCAAAACGGTCATAAGTGGAACTTGAAATTCAATAAATCTACAGCAGGCTAGCTCTTTCAGTTGGTAACTTTGTGTGGCTCACAAATGGCATTATAAATATTCAAATGGATTATGGCAGAAAAAAAAGGTTGCCACCCCTACAACCCTGTGACATAAACAAAAGGAATAAATTACTTTTGCTTTAATGACAGAAAAACGGGATTGACAAGAAAGGCCACTGTGCCGGGGGACTCTGCAGCTGTGAGACAGAGAAAGGGAGAGAGTGATCTTCCAGCTGCTAGCTCATTCCCCAGGTAATCGCAAGACACGGCGCTGGCCCAGGCTGAAGCTGGGAGCCCACACAGGTGCAGGGGCCAAAGGATCTGGACCACTCCACTGCCCTCCTGGTCCATCAGTAGGGAACTAGACAGAAAGCAAAGCAGCTGCTGTGCATGAGATGTTACTGCTGCAGGCAGAGGATGAGCCTGCAACGTCCCCAGCCGGCCATAGACAGGAGTATTTTGTACAGAAACATTTTGAAGTTCATGTACATTTTTGAGATACTATATTCATCAACTGGAAACCTGCAGGTTAGGAATGTACTAACGCATTCTAACTTTCATGGGGGATTTTATTATACTCACTATCAAACAATTTAAATTCCCAAATTGCTTTTATAGAATGTTTTTACCAACTAATCAAACATTAATATTTTAGTGTAATTAACAATATCCCATTCTTGTTTCACACACCATGACTCCATTTCCGCACCAAGATAAATGCTATAAACAAATAAATAATTATCGGGCAGAACTACATCTATTATCTCCGTTGCTAAGCTGAGACACTTACAAGTAAATGATAATTTCCTGTCCTAAAGATCTCCAATCTCCTTTTGCCCTAAACAAATCAGTCATTCGTGAACACCGAAGCTGGGACAGTCAGAAATACTTGAAATGCACAGGCAAAACAAAACATATCTAGTCATATTCTTTTGAAAATGAAAGGATAGAAAAACCATGCTTCTAAACATCAAGTTATCCAAGTTGTCCTCAACCATCCACTTACGTTGCTGTCTGCTAATATAAAATTGCTTATTTCACCTTTATGAGTTTCATCATTCAAGGTAGCATCATAAAAATTTCCTAATACCCACCCAACTAAGTGAAAAAAATATGGATGTATTCAAAGCAATGCGAATCATAAATGGACACGCTTCATTCATACATGGGCAGCTCACACGGCAAAAGGCGCTAAAGCGTGATGCTGTTGACCAAAGAGCTCAAAACCCAGACATCTCAACACAAGATTTTCTAGCACCAACACATTACTGATCCAATTAAAGATGAGCATCTGTTTAAGTTCTGGACACCCAATTCTACCCACCAACCTCTTCATTTCATACATTCCCCTATAATGGAGATGTGCATTTCCTACATAGGAAAAAGCCAGCTTACAGTAAGGGGACAGTAATGATGCCTGCTAGTATTAGCAAAGTTAGTGATACACAACTGAATTTTAAGTTTCCATCTCCAAATAACTGAGTTTCATACTTCATCCGTTCTTTACTACAGGATAAGGATTAGCTCAGATTTCTAACACAGGGGAAATTCAACATCATTGTCAATGGGATAAATCAGTTTACTCTGAAGAGTTTTTAAATGTCAAATTTCTACTTATATTCAACTACAATATGTATATTAAAGGCTCAATTTCATAATAATTCTTAAATGCAAAAATGGAAGTATTTGAATAAAATTTTAGAAAACAACCACTATAATGTCTTTTTTTTTTTTAATGAAGAAATCCAGGGCTTTATTTTATAAAAAAGGCCAAATCATGGCTCCAAACACACTTTAAATTGTTTATCTTTAATTTGCTCCCAAATTTCCCTATATTAAATTTACAGAGGAAAAAATTATACATCTACTTTAAAAAAAGTAACCAGGATTTCAAAAATAAACTTACCTTCAGATTATTCCATACTCTGGATAATAAACACAAAGAAGTGTAAAATTAAGTACTATTTTTCAAATGAAGTCATCCAGAATTTTCTTCTAATTTAATAGAAGCTGAATATTACTTAAAAAATACTTGTGCTATTTCCAATACTTATAAGTTCCATTTATTAAGTGAGCGACACATACCCTGTGATCATCCGCGTTGTCATGGAAGATATTAGATACCAAAGATGTCTCAAAAACCTGGCATTAAAGGCTAAACTGTAGAGAAGCCTAAAAAAGAATTGGGGGGAAACAAGACAGAGTGAGCATACACATACATATATGTCGTCTTCAGAAAAATGGCTCTTGGAGCTGACAGGGGATTGTAGCAAGCTAGTCCTGTTACGGTGCAGGCATCCTGTGTAGCACTGGTTCAAATCCTAGCTACTGCACTTAGATCCAGCTCCAGACTAACAAAAGCATGGCTGATTTTAAATGAGCTCTACACTGTATAAAAAGAGCTGCTGGTCTGAAGGGGCAGCGGAGGATGGCCCAAGTCCTGGGGCCCCGGTTCCGACATGAGAGATCCGGTAGAAGCTCCTGGCTCCCAGCTCTGTCTGATGTGACCAGCTGTGGAATGAAATGGTGGGTAGACAATCTCTCTCTCCATTTCTTCCTCAAAATCCATGGGTGCTCAGCTTCCTCACACAAAATGGTATGACAGGACTCAGCACAGTAGCCTAGTGGCTGCAGTCCTTACCTTCAATGTGCCAGGATCCCATATCGGCGCCGGTTCTACTCCCAGCAGCTCCACTTCCCACCCAGCTCCCTGCCTGTGGCCTGGGAAAGCAGTCGAGGACGGCCCAAAGCTTTGGGACCTGCACCCATGTGGGAGACCTGGAAGAGGCTCCTGGCTTCAGATTGGCTCAGCTCCGGCCATTGTGGCTGCTAGGGGAGTGACTCATTGGACGGAAGATCTTCCTTTCTGTCTTTCCTCCTCTCTGAGGAGAAGATTTTACAATAAAATAAATAAATCTAAAATGGCATGATACTTGCATATAATCTAATTATATTGTCTTGTATCCTATAAATCATCCAAGATTGCTTTTAATAAGGTTTTTGAAAATACTTTTTTCCTCTGGAATATCATCTATTCATGCTTTGTTGAATCTGTGCAGTTGGAATCTGCAAAAACGTGGAGGGTCACAATTCTCAAAATGCACACAAGAAAGTGTCCGTTAACACTCTAAAATAATTTAAATCTGGAAAAATCATTACATCAAACGGATTAAAAAGACTAACCAAAGCATGGCTGATTTTAAATGAGCTCTCTACACTGTATAAAAGGAATTTTAGGATACACGTCCTAATCACACTGAAGAATACAGACACCCCAAATGTCCCCGGGTTACATGCAATGTTTGCACGTGAAAAAGAAGGTGCTGAATTACCTTGATCCTAAGATCTTTCCTAGCATGAAGTATTAAGAGTTTAAACAATGTTTATGCTTGTCATGGGAATATTGTCACAACATAGTAGTAGCAACGTTACATTAATTCTATTTCCACAACACTGGATGAGTCACAAAATCAGAATGAAAATTTTTTTAAGCTCATGAAGTAAAAAACGGTAATGATATAAAACTCATGTTAGTATATTATCTCCCTATCATTACTATTCCCTTATTAATAATTCACTTCAGGGGTCTACAGATGGTAAAGCTTTACTTGCAAAGCAGGCATCCCTGTATGGGTGCTGGCTGAAGCCCCCACTAGTCTGCTTCCCACCCTCCTTCCTGCCCCTGTGCCCCGGGAGGGCAACAGATGGCTCACGGAACTTGGTCCCAATGGGGTGTTGGCTGTTGCAATCATTCGGGGAATAATCTAGTGGATGGCAGATCTGTTATGTCACTACCCTGCTAATAAATACATCTTAAATATATATATAAACATATATATTTTTTTGTGGAGCCTTATTTCCTAAGGATACTCAGACATAAGAAGAAGACAGTAAAAGGAACAAACTGGGTCTGAAGCATCATCGGATATTGCAAGTGACAGAACCACCCCCGTCTTCCTGCACATTTGTACTAATGAGGCACTTTCTGTTTCTCTACAGGGATCATCACCTTATTGGCAAAAGCAATATTAAAAGACATATATAACAAGACACTTCTGAAGTAACAGAAGATTAAAATAAATTTCAAACTTCCTCTTAATGACAGTTTTAAAGGCATGTCAATCTGAGGGAAACTGCCAAACATTGCTTTTTCATAGAAAATTTAGGAGCCTCAGAAGATACTCAACATACATACAGGTGAGTTAAATTAACATTCCAGGACTAAGACAATAACCAGTTTAAACAGTTCCCTTTTGACTGTAGCTAACTTTAACTGTAAAATTAATGGATTCAAACCAGTTCTCTTTCCCTGATGTCTCAGATTACATTAAGATCAGGAAAAGAGGCCTTTATTACTTAGAAACTTTCTCTGATGTTTTCTTATTCTTGCTCCCTGCCATTCTTTCCAAGATTTATTTAGTTACATGAAATCCAGTGAGAGTAGCAGAAAGGTGTTTTCTATCTCCTGGTTCACTTCCCAGATAGTCACACAGCGGGGCCTGGCCTGGCAGGTGCTTCTCCCGGTTCTGCCATGCAGTCTGCGAGAGGCTGATTCAGACTGGAGCAGCTGGGGCCTGAGCCAGGAGATCAGGTGGCTGCGGGCGGGGGCTCTTGCCACGACACAGCTCCACACCACCTCTTTTATTCTCCCCCTCAACTATTGAACCACATTCCTAAAAGAAAACTTAAAAGGAGGACTGAAAAATAGACAACAGCTTTGTTGTATGTTATTTCAAATTTACTTATATTTTTTGTGAATCAATTATGAATCAAAAATGGCTAGAAAACTCAGAACTTTCAAAACTCATTACCAGTTATATTGGTAAATTTGACAAAGCAAACCTACTTTATTAATTTGATGTTTCTAATAAGCTTAGAAATTGATTTGTAATGTGCACAAATTGTACAACAGATTTAATAAAATCTTTATCCGAAATGCTTTAAAACTCAATTTTACTTGACTTCTATTAAATAAAATATAAATTTTAGCATAAAACAATCATTGGTTAAATCTACTTATTATACTGAAATGTTGATAAAAGCAACAAAAATTCATTTCTTTTGAGGCATATCTTTAGTATTTTTTTTTAATTTTTAAAGATTTATTTATTTTTATCAGATATACAGAGAGGAGGAGAGACAGAAAGGAAGATCTTCTGACCGATGATTCATTCCCCAAGTGGCTGCAACGGCTGGTGCTGACCCAATCCGAAGCCAGGAGCCTCTTTCACGTCTCCATGCGGGTGCAGGGTCCCAAAGCTCTGGGCTGTCCTTGACTGCTTTCCCAGGCCACAGGCAGGGAGGTGGATGGGAAGCGGGGTAGCTGGGATTAGAACCGGCGCCCATATGGGATCCCAGTGCGTTCAAGCCAAGGACTGCAACCACTACACTATCGTGCCAGGCCCTAATATTTTTTCTACAATATTATAAACATTTTTTTTAAACACTGGGACATTATGTATATAAATTTAATTTAGCACATACCATGAAACACACATATGTATTTTCTTAATTGAAGAAAGCTGAGTAATCATTTTATACCAAACTACTAAAGCATAAGATGAATTTATAAAGCAAAGCTAATAATTTCTAATTATCACAGCCTACTTAACAGTGCTGAGAAAGCACATCAGAAAATATGAACTCATTTCCAGGGCATCCACCTGTCTAAATTACAATGACTAATAGTAACCGATACAATTATGCTGATGGAACAGTAAGACTGTAGTGAGATAAAACTGAACTGTGATAGGAAAGCTCGAGGCGAATCATAATATCAACTTTTCTGGTTCCTTTAAAATTATCTCAAAGTTTGCAAATCTGTCAGTGGAGCAAGTGTGAACCCGCTGGACAGGAGTGTAAGGAGGAGGAAGTTCTGAAGAGTTTGTCAGAAAGGAAAGAGGCCTGAAGTGGAAGCCCAACAAGCCGCAGGAAACGCTGTAAGAAGGTGTGGCTGCTCCACTGGGAGCCAGCTCCCTCATCACGAGACTGGAAAAGCCCTTGAACCCCCAGCAGAGACCTGGCTGGAGTTCCAGGGTCCTGGTTTGGCCTGGCCAGCCCTGAGCATTACAGCTATTTGGAGTGAACCAGCAGATGAAGGAAGATCTCTCTCTCTCCAACTCTTTCAATACATAAAATTTTAAAATAAAATTGAGATTACAATGTTCATGAGGGCAACAGTTGAAATGGATTCAGGAAAATGTAGCACAGAAAGATTAAACACCACGCAAAGGCCACCTGCTGGCAAACCTGTTGGCAGGCAGCGTGGGAACTGTGGACACCAGCTGACTGTCTAGACACAGCAACTTGCGAAGCAGGCACACAGACCTGGCATAGGTCTGTAGGCATTGGCAGCTGTAGGCACAGGCAGCTGTAGGCATAGGCAGCCCTAACAGTGCTCAGCTCGCGACCAACACGCGAACCAGGACGTGTTTTTTTAAAGCATTAAATAATGCTGAGTTGGTTAGGGTTCAAGCTGAACATGTAGAAGGCTATCTTAAAGCATCTACTTGGTATCTTACTTCCTGAATTAAGTTCTCTAGATAATGGAATAGTGCCTTTATTTTAGCCCCCAACCCACATACACATGCAAACATAATACCACCAGTCAATATCCATCATTATTCTACAATAATGAATGTATTTTCTTGAGAAAGAAAATCTAAATCGTATTCAAATTTCCATGTCCAATGATAAAGTACACAAACTTCCTCTCAAAAGGGGGGGTGGGAGCTGCAACTCAGCAGTTCCTTTATTGATTAAAAAAGAAGTTACCTAATCAAAAACTCAAAACAATATAATAGCATAAATAACCAGTCTCTCCTCCACCTCATCTTGCCCAACACATTCAGATATAGAAGCAACCACTTTAACGAGTTCTGATCTGAGGCCAACTGTATTTATGTAATTACAAATACACATTTTCCTATCTTTACTACACAAAATGGAGGTTACTATGTGTTTGCTTTTGCCATGTAAATTTTTATCTTGGAAATTTTTCATAACAGCATAAAGAGTCTCCATCCTCCTTTATACATGCTGAAAGAAATCAAAACTATAAATATTGACCTCCAAAATAGGAGGATTTAATATTAGCCAGAATGGGTTCCGGGAGCTGCTTCCTTCGGGGTGGTGAGTAGACCGAGGGGGGAGGCCTCCGGGACTGGGCGGGTCCGGGACCCACCGGCCGCCTTCCTGGGGCAGTGAATGGGATTTGGGAGGGGCGTGATCTTGGGCCTGGGTTATTTAAACCTCCAGCAGCCTCCCGGCAGCTGGTGGGTCTCAGGACGGGGCGTCTCATGCCTGGATCCCGGACAGCCACCATGTGCATATGGTGAGCTGTTTTCCCCGGGCAGTCAGTGCGCCATTTGGTGCCAGGCTCCGCCTGCTTGCCGCCCGGCCGGGGAGCTCTGGAGATTTGGTTCTTTGAGTCGCTGCTTAATTAGCTCCAGGTTGAACCCGTTGTGCTTCTTGGACCTTGAAACAGGCAGTAACTCTTCCTTTGTAAAACTTGTAATCACTAATAATGCTGAGCACCAAATACCAGTCCATGCAGAAGCTATGGCTTGGGGCTTGTCCTGCAAAAGTAGCTCCAACAGCTGGCTAATGTGTCAACTGGTAATGCAACAGAGTAGATCAGGCAGAACTGAGCAAACCTTAGCCCACAAGTAAAACTAGAAACCAGGAGGGAGCAGAGGTCATGCCGAGCTAGGCTCTTGTACCTACTGGTCTGCGGGAGCCAGGAACGCTAAGCCACAGTGTCTATGGCAGCGTTTGGGACAGGGGAAGGGCTGTGCCAAGCTGAGTCAGAGCATCCATTGGCAGGCAAGTGATCTATGGCTGGGAACAGACCTGGTTGGGGAGCAAAGGGGACAACCCTAGCTGGACTGAGGTTCCCACCAAGAGGCGCGTGGCCTGGAAGGGGGGCTGCGTTCTGATCTGGAAACAGTTGTAGTCTCCCTTGGCACAAGTGTGGACTGGGATTGGATGCACTGAACCAGGCCGGACCCCAATACCCCCTGGTGTCCTGGAGGACCAGGGCAGATGTGCGATGGACTAGGCAAGGTCTTAAACCCCTACTGAGCCATGTGTGAGCCATTCGTGGGTATGGACAAACCATGGCTGGGCTGGAACATCCAATAGCAAGAACCAGGTTGGGTGGAAGGCCAATCAGGAAAAGCCACAGTTCCTGCTATGACAGGAGGTGGACTGAGTAGGGTTGGCTCATGGGCCCACTGGTAAGAGTGAAACCTGGCATTGGGACAGGTTCTGATGGAGGAGCCTGGGCAACTCCTCTGGCAGGACACAGACCCGGCAGGTCAGCGCAAGAAACATGATAGGAAACAGCCCAGAAAAGGCCATGGAAAGCTACCCACTGGCATACAATTGGCAGACATGGGGGCAGGACCAGGCTGAATCTGTCCACGTCATCCACTGGCAAATCCAGGCACCAGTGTGGGTCGACCCAGGTTCGGTCGCAACAAAGACTAGTGCACATTATGGAATGCCGAGGTGAGGTTGCCTGTACCAGAAGGGACCGCAGCGCCCAACCAGCCTGAGAACAAGAAAGGAAGTGGGCAGAGCCAGCAGGGGAATAAGGGAGGGTTCCTTTGCTGGACAGCTACTTCCGCAGGAGAGCATAGGCTGGGATGGGGGCAGACCAGACTAGGCAGAGCTACCACACCTGCGTGCCTCATGTGGACTAGATCAGGGAAAAGCTGGGCTGGGCTGATTATTCCTATTGGTGCAAACAAAATTAAAGTGGGCGAGGGTTGTTTGGGCTTAGACGCAGCATCAGCTGGAATCTGGGAGTGGGAGAGGCCTGGGAGGGAAATAGTGGGCTCATCCCTCTTGGGTTGCCACTTCCACAGGAGGACACAAAACTAAGATAGCGGCTGGGGTGGAATGGGGTGTGGGACAGACTGGACTACTGCTACACTTACTGGCAAACCAGGGTAGGGGGTGGGCCTGGTAGGGGTTATTGTGGGTTGCTCCAACTAGGCTGTAGCTCCCACTAGTTTATGTGAGGGCCAAGTATGTGCTGGGCAGAACCAGGCTGGACTGCAACACCCATTGGTTCCAGTGGAAGTCGGGAGTGAAAACAGAACCAACCCAGCAATTGCAACCACCAGCTGATTGGAGGCGATGGACGGTGCCGGCCCCTGTACTTGTTAGCACATACAAGAAGTTTCTTTGGAGATCTTCCTAATCTAAATGCTGGACTCAGAACCCTAACGAAGAAAAGAGAGAAGACAGAACGGGTCAACCAACCATCTCAGCTATGATGGACTATGTCAATCAGTGGATTTTTCAAAGACCTCATAGTGCTTGGAGTGGCAAGATTGACAGCAATTCATAACTGTTGCAATATCAAAACCACTTGAGCAAGAACCTCAGAGCATGCCCTACATCCGGGACCTGGGGAGGGTAGGAAAACGGGTGGGCCTTCTCCCTTCATACCCCCCTTTAAACATGAAGGTAACAATATGGAAAACATACTAGTATTATCCACTTTCCTGTAGCCCTTGAACCTTCTTACCCTAATCAACTATGTAAAGAATGTCAAAATAAAAATTTTTTTAAAAATTAGAAAAAAAAATATTAGCCAGAATGAGATTAACAGTCGGGAATATATATAATCATCTTTTAAATACTTCCTATGAAAAACCAAAATGAGAAGTAGTTAAAATCTACAAGTAAAGCCTATTTGCCATGAAGAATACTCCAAATACTTAAAGCCTCATATGTTTAAATCATAAATAAAATTGCTAGAGTAGCTTCTCAGAGGAAACAGGTGAGGTACCCATACAATCAAGTCTACAGAGAAAGCCCCATTCCCCATCAGACGCCTCTGGAAGCAGTTCAGCAGGAAACCTCAGCCAGGGCAGTGTTGCATTAAGTCCAGCAATGAACACCCAAAGCAATGGACTTTGCACTACAATGGAAGCAAGTGAACCGGTCAGCTGTCAGGAGCCTCACATCTCAGGTCCTGCTCTACTGCAATCCCCTAAAGAGCTCGTGACCCCCAGGGGTCCCTTCCCTGACACCTACTTCCACTGAGCCAGGACAGCACCTCATTGGTCCACTGCATGAGTGTCTACAGGACAATTCCAACACTGATGCATTTCTTACTCACAGTTCCTTTCAAAGAATGCTTTCCTAACCAACCAAGAGCACTTTTCTCTTGCAACCAAAGTCTGCATTTTACAAAAGCAGAACTCTTCAGGATGACAGGGACTTGCAAGGGACCTTATCTGCTGACAGTGCTTTACAATCCACTGTGTAGCATCAGTCCTTCAGAACTAAACAGAAATACTATGTATTTTTTGCACTATAGACAATTAAATATGTTCCTATTACATTTTTAAGAAGCTGCAAGACTAATGTTACAATTACCCATGCACAAATTAACCAATTAAATACTTTGTTTTGACCCAATAAAAAAGCATATTTCAATGCTTTGAGAAACAAGTTTACTGACAAGACTAAATTATCAATTATCAAAGACTGTCTGATTTTAAAAGGCACTATTTTTAAATCCTAAGAAGATATACAGAATGTATCCATTCTATAATGCATGTAGAAATCTAACTGTTAAGATGAGTGGGGAGGGTTGAACTCTCACTATAAGATAATACAGAAAGGAAAGTAATTTGATTTCATTAGTCTGAAAGGCAAAGTGACACACACATTATTGAGAAGGTGGCTGGGAAATCAAAATAAGCATCTATTTCTAGCACCTCAAATGCCCACAACAGCCAGTAACTCCATCAGGTCTCCCATCTGAGGGGTGAGAAATTCAGCATCTGGGTAACCACCCGCTGCTCCAGGTGTGAGAGCAGGAGGCTGGAGCGCAGGTGTAGGACAGCTAGGACACCAATCAGGCACTCTGCTATGGGATGCAGGCGTGCTGGCAGCAGCTTGAACCTGTGTGCTACAATGTCTGCCCAAGACTCAACTTCCTAACACATCACACACAGGGCTCTTCAGAGAGAGGAGTCAAACGGTGTTGTTAGCTCTCTGGTTTGGAAAAGATAAATTTCCATCTTCTATGACATGCTTGGAGAGTATATCACTGCATATCGCACTACATCAGACAACAGATCCCAGTGATCCAGGTTACGACCGAAGGACAAGACAGAGGAAGGAAGCGTACTTGACTGTCTGTGTCCTGTTGGATCAAAGCAGACCCACCTGACTTTGGGCACCATCATGCGATGCTGCACCATCAGCGTGTGGCAAATGGATGCCATGCGGGTGAAGACTTCTTCACTAGCAGAGTCCCTCCACACCAAGTTTAACAGGGTGTTGGTCTGCTGTTTCGTGTCCAGCTTCTTCAGACATTCCTCTGTTATGTATGGTATTGACAGCCGGCCATCCTCCTAAAACAGACAGAAAAATCACTCCAAGTTAATGCTTCGTTAGAACTTGCCTCTCTCTTACAAAGTAAAACTGCATTCTTCAAGTGAAAACACAAGATACTATTTTAGTTATTTATGCCACAATCAATCTGTATTAATACATCCACTGAGTTCATCTGAAATCTTCTAAAGATCCTGACACTAAGAGGTATTGTTTTGGGCCCGGCATGGTGGCCTAGCAGCCAGGATCCCATATGGGCGCCAGTTCTAATCCCAGCAGCCTTGCTTCTCATCCAGCTCCCTGCTTGTGGCCTGAGAAAGGAGTCAAGGATGGCTCAAAGCCTTGGGATCCTGCACCTGTGTGGGAGACCTGGAAGAAGTTCCTGGCTCCTAGCTTAGGATCAACGTAGCACCAGCCGTTGTGCTCACTTGGGGAGTGAATCATCAGATGTAAAATCTTCCTCATCAGATGTAAGATCTTCCTCTCTGTCTCTCCTCCTCCTCTCTGTATATCTGACTTTGCAATCAGAATAAGTAAATCTTAAAAAAAAAAGTATCGGTTTTACCTAGGACAACATAGAACCCATCAGCCAGTTATCACCAACTAAGGCACTATTTTTGGAAATCATTTATTTTTACACACACACACATAATTTTTTTGGGTAAAGATTTTGTTTTATTTTTATAAGCAAATAAAGGAGTTATACAGGTGGCCGTGTGGGAACTTGGCACCACAGGCAGAGGCTCAACACACTAGGCCATGATGCCAATCCCATTTTATACACTTGAGGTTGTACTAAACAAACACACTGAAACTATATAATCATCTGATTGAATTTCCATTTTAAATTGTTTTGAGAGTTCACAGTGGAGACAAATTAAGCGGGAATCTTAAAAATACTTTTAATTGAATATACATAATACACTTGTGTTGTAACAATTCTTCTAGATGATCTCCCACAGTGGATACAACGTGAGTGTAAGTGCTGTCATTGTGGCACAGCATTTAAAGCTACCACCTGTGACACGGGCACGCATGTGGGTCCCAGCTCAGTTCCAGTCCTGGCTGCTCTACTCAATGCAACGAGCTCTCTGCATATGGGAAAAAGTAGCTGAAGACAGCCAAGCGTCGGGGTCCTGCACCCAACATTACACACAGATGGAGTTTGTGGCTTCCTATTGGCCACTGGGGCCATTTGTGGAGAGAGCTAGTGGATGGAAAATGTCTGTTCTCACTTTCTCTAACTCTGATGTTCAAAATAAGTGAATATTTTTGGAAAAAAAAATACTTTGAAATTTGCTCATGTGGCACATGACACATACAGTTTCTCATATCTATATGTATATGAATAATACCTAAGAATTAAGTTAGGATATATATTGTGTGTATATGCCAACTGTGCTATTTGGAATCCAGCATGCACGTAATGTATACTGTCTTATCAAATAGAACAGTTCTATAAACACTAAAGCAGTAAATCACATCTGTCAAGTCTGAATCTTTAAGACGTACTTAGTAGTGTTAGAAAAAAATGTAATAACAATTGTACTACTATTAAGATTTAATTACTTCTTTCAAAGACAGCGTGTTTATATCGGACAGATAGGGAGGGGGAAGTATGAAAATGTTCAATCAGCCAGTTCCCTCTCCCAAGTGGCTGCAACAGTCCCAGCTCTCCCAAACCTGGCTTCCGTGAGGTCCAGGTGCCCAAGCACTTGGGCTATCTTCTGCTACTTCCTCAAGTGTGTCAGCACAGAACTGGATTGGAAGTAGAGCAGCCAGGATGCAAAATGGTGCTCACATAACATGTTGGCACTACCCATGGAGTCACAATGGCAGCTTCAGATTTTAATGAAAATACAATACACATGAACAGGAAGTGAAAGGATTATGCAGAAACATAAGGGCAAAAGAGCTTGTAAAGAGCAAGCAAGTGAGTCATGAAGTCCCAACCTAGATGTGCAAAATTGGAATGTCTGTATAATATACGGATCTTGAATGTGCTAGCAATATGGAATCCCATTTTCAGATCTACCAACGGATCCCCTTTCCATGTCAGAGGCGCCACAGCAGCAGGAGCTGGGCACTCCCCTGCTCAGGAGCCGTCCTGTCAGCTCTGATCACGTCTGGACACCCACAGCTCTCTTGCTATCACTGTCACATGGATCTAAACTACATACTGCATATAAATACAATTCTTAACTTCAGATTATCTAGAAGGTAATTGATAAAAAATTAAACTTGCTATCAAAGACCTAAGTTGTATCTACATTCTACTTACAGAATCCCCTCTTTAAACCCTTTTTCTTTTTTCTACAAGCAAAGAAACAGGTATCACCCATTGCCCGGTTCAGCTCCTGCAAGGGCCAGGACCCGGGGATGGGCTGTGCTAATGCCAGGAGTGAGAAAGCTATCCAGGTCTCCCATGTGGGTAGCAGGGACCCAAACACACCATCTCCCCAACCTCCAACTGTAACCATTCAAACAAATCTGTATGTTTCACTGTACAGTTCAGACCTCTGACAGATCCAGTAGTTCCAGTAGCAAAAAATTCAGTTTTGCCCCTTGGTAATTAACTTACGTAAACCCTGGAAACGAATAATCTGTTTTTCTTTTCTTAATATACCGACTTTTTTTTTTCCCCCTTCTAAGCTAATGTTCTTGTTTGCATCCTCAAGGAACATTAACATAACCCTTCCACTTCTCTGAAAAGCCCGACTATTCTCAAGTATACAGTGAGACCACATTGAGTACTAGATCAATATTAAATGCCTGAATAACAATGACAAAATCTAACATCCTATTACTGCTAATCCTGAAGCCGTACCAACTGTTCAAGGCAAAACCCCAGCACAGAAAGTTCCCTTTAAGACAAAAGTTACGTGCATATAAACAATTAAAAATTTTACAAATTAGAATTCTTCATATTCTGAATGAGAGAACAAGGGAAATAAAGCATGTGATAATACACTTGAGGGTAATTTCACCCTTCACAAAAGTAAAAGTCACGTGACACAGTAAGAAGCAGCTTTACTTGGGGTTAGAAGTGTTGCTGCATCACTCCTTACAACACCAGTATTCAATATCAGATTGCAAATGAGAAAGTCCTGGCCGGGCCCAACGCGACAGCCTAGCCTTGCTTGTGCCAGAATCCTACATGGGCACTGTTTCTAATCCTGGCAGCCCCGCTTTCAATCCAGCTCCCTGCTTGTGGCCTGGGAAAGCGGTCAAGGATGGCCCAAAGCCTTGGGACCCTTCACCCATGTAGGAGACCTGGAAGAGCTCCAGGCCCCTGGCTTCGGACTGACTCGGCTCCTGCAGTTGCAGCCACTTGGAGAGTGAATCAGCGGACCGAAGATCTTCCTCTCCGTCTCTCCTCTCTTTCTCAGTGTCTAATTAAAAATAAATCTTTAATTAAGAAAAAAAAAAAAAAGTCCTGGCTACTCTGTTTCCAATCCAGCTCCCTGTTACTCCTCATGGAGAGGAGTGGATCATGTCCCTGCCATGGATGTGAGGGACAGGGATGGGATTCTGATCTGTCCCAGGCCTTGGAGTTTTCATCTGGGGAATGAATAAGCAATGGAAGGTCTCTGTGTCTCCCTCTCTTTCCCTGTCACTCTCCTTTACAAATAACTAAAGAAGCATTTCTTAAAAAGAGAGAAATCTGGGGCCAGTGCTGTGGCACAGCAATCTAAGCCTCTACTTGAGACACTAGTATCCCAAAGGAACACTGGTTCAAGTCCTGGCTGTTCCACTTCCAATCCATCTCCCTGCTAATGTGCCTGGCAAAGCAGCAGAGGAGGGCTTAAGTCTTGGAGTTCTTGGGAGATTCAGAACCACGTGGGAGATCCAGAAAAGGATCCTGGCTCCCAGCTTCTGATCAGCCAAGCCCAAGTAATAATTATGCATTTGATTCAATTATAAAAAATACTTTTTTGAAGTTTGCATTTCCACAATGTTTTACAAAAGCATGCAGCAAGATATTCCAACCACTAGGAAGAGTATGATCTGAAGAGGTGAAGGGGCTTACCTGTTCAGAATGAAAAGTTCTACAATGAAATTGCTTGGGTGATTAACTGAAATAATTAAGCATAGGAGCAGGTGTTTCACCTAGAAACTAAGTCGCTCACTTCTTCCATTAGAGCGTCTGGTTGGCTTCCCAGTGTCTGCTCAAGGGACTGGGTTTTTGCCACCCATGGTAGACCTGGACCTGCAGCCTGCACGCGCGCACACACACCACCCCGAATGACGGTAGACAGGAAACTGGATAAGCGCCTTCCTGGCAGAGCTCCTGCCTGCACAGGAGCCTCGGGAGCTTACCGGGCTGGTGGGCTTGTCGGCTTCTTCACTCTCGTCCTCAGAGTCGCTGGCGGAGTCGTGGCAGCTTGTGCTGGCAGGTGAGACTGGTAACTGAGAAAGGAAGGTCTGGAGGACTCTCAAATATTCCAACAGGCCTTCCTCAGACAGTGCTCCTGTGCAAGACAGTCACAGTTGTAGGCCAGTGAAAAATTGTTTTTTTTCAAAAGGGACAACAGTTTTCTCACACACAGCGGAGCATTTCTGACCAGAACGTAATGTTTTAAAAACTCTGTGTTATAATCTGAAATACATGAGCACCTAAATAAAACTCTCAGAATTTCTGGGAAAAAAAGCAGTGTTTCTTGTTACTCTTAACAAACCCTTCTGTTGACGGCTGACTTGGCTGATAAAACTTTCAGGTGGGCCCCGGAGAGCCTCTCAATGGAGCTGTCTCAGAAAGATCCGTAATGAAGGGTGGGCGCTGTGGCAAGTAGCTTAAGCGTCAGCCTACAGTGCCAGCATGTCAATGGTTTGAGTCCTGATGGCTCCACTTTGATCCAGCCCCTGGCTGGTGTGCCTGGCAAGCAGAGGAGCGTGGCCCACAGGAGGGGCACCCACGTGGAAGATACAGAGGAAGCTTCAGACGAGCCCAGCTCCAGCAACCGAGGCGATTTGGGGAGTGAATCAGCAGAGGGGAAGACCTCTGTCTCACCTTCTCTCTGTACATCTGCCTCTGCAACAATAATGCTCAGAAGGAAGAACTGTCCAGTCCCTCCAGAACTCCACGAAGGGAGGTGTGGGAATTGATCACCAAACTGGGAGGTGGGGAAGAGAGGTGGCGCAGGGAGCTAAGCTGCTACCTGCAATGCTGGCACTCCATGTGAACACCAGCTGGAAGGCCTGGCTGCTCTACTTCCAATCCAGCTTCACACTAATGTGCCTGGGAAAGTAAAAGAAGGTGACCCAAGTAGTTGAGGTCCTGGCATCATGTCAGAAATTCTAATAAAGTTATTGGCTTTGGCCTGCCCTGCCCTGCCCTGCCACCTGCACTGCGCCCATTCGGGAAGTCAACCAGCATATAGAAGATCTCTTGCTCTGTCTGCTTCTCAAATACAATTTAAAAAACATTAAAAACTAATTTTAAAAAACTTTGGAGGTACAGAAGTGTGAGGTTCCAAAAGGGACCAGATTTTTTGAGTAAAAACACATTTTCTTAGAATTAGCACATTAGGGCCGAGCACAGTAGCCAAGTGGATCCCATATGGGCGCCAGTTTGTGTTCTGGCTCTTCCTCTTCCCATCCAGCTCCCTGCCTGTCGCCTAGGAAAGCAGTAGGGGATGGCCCAAAGCCTTGGGACCGTGTACTTGTGTGGGAGACCTGGAGGAAGCTCCTGGCTTTGGATTGGCACAGTTCTGGCCATTGTGGCCACTTGGGAATGAATGGTGGCAATGACCCAGGTTGGGCCAGGCTGAAGACAGAAGCCTGGAAGCCCTTCAGTTCTTCCATATGGGAGCAGGGGTCCAAGTACTCAAACACCATCATGTACTTTGCCCAGGAGGGAGCTGGATGGAAGCAGAGGACCTGGTTCTCAAGTAAGAGCTCCATTATAGGATGACAGCTTCATAGGCAGGGGTTTAATGTCCTGCACTACCATGCTGGCCTCTTGCTTCTTTCTTTTTTTCAAAGATTTATTTTTTTTATATGAAAAGCAGAGTGACAGAGACAAAGGGAGAAATAGGAACAAATTCTCCGTCCACTGCTTTCTCCAAATGGCCACAATAGTCAGGGCTGACAAGGTAAAACCCAGAAGCCCAGATCTCCATCTGGATCTAACTCATAGGCAACAAGCCCACACATCTGGCCACCATCCACTGCTTTCCCAGGCACTCAAGCAGGGACGTGGACTGGAAGCAAAGCAGCTTGGACTCCATTGAGTAGCAACTTAACCCGTCACAACCCAACACCAGCCCCAGGCTTAGCTTTCTTTTGAATGAAATGAGGTTTGGGGCTGGCACACAAGTGCCAGATTGCATCCCAGCTGCTCCAGTTCCAATCCAGCTCCCACTAATGTGTGTGCGGGAGACCCGGAACTTGCTGACTCCTGGCTTCTGCCTAGCCAACCCCAGCTACTGAGACCATTTGGGAAGTGAGCCAACTGATGGAAGATCTCTCTACCTCTGTATCTCCCGCTCTCTAACTTTGCCTTTCAAATCAATCAATAAATTAGTTAATAAAAAATAAAGAAAAGATATAAAGTACATATCCAAGCCATATCTTAAGCTTGCGACGGTGTCCAGTGGACACCTACCTGCAATGCAGCAAATCATAAAGATAACGTGTACTTTCAATTACTTTTTCAATTACTTTTTTTTTAAAATCGATTAGAGAAGATGCAACATTTCTAGAATAGGCACATTAACAACATCCTATCAAAGAACAGGTCTTCCAATTAAATCAAAGAAGCCTTTTAATTTGTGTGGTCCCAAAACAGGACGCTAATATCAGGCTTGTTCACAGCACCTGCGAACCTTCCCGAGGGACACTGCCTCCTCAGCCCCTCAGCAGCCCCTATGTCTCCACTGAGGTGTCATGTGAAACACCCTGCCTCCTGATTCTTGCCACCGGTATGGCCTTTCTTAGGTCTGTCTATTAATGCTACCTTCTTACAGGACAAGCAAATGTATTTTGCATTACATACCCAAATAACTTTCGCCAACAGTTAGAACAAAATAGAAAAGCCACGGTGCTCCAGCACTCCTTCTTGAATATCTCCCCTCTTGTAACAAGAGTGCACTCAGAAAGGGCTCGTAAGGGAAAGCGGTCTGTACATCTGCTAACGCCGGAATGACAAAATGAAAGATCTGATCTGTAAAAGGTGCTGCCAGGAACTCCTCTGTGAAGGCTGCGAACACCTGCTGCCTGAAAAAAGATGAGCAGAAGCTTCTCATAAAATCAAAACACATTACTCAGCAAGTCCTCGACGAAAACTTTCAGAACACCTTCCTCACTAGAAAATTACCGTTCTAAATTATAAATAAGTCAGTCATTTAATATGCACTAGATCAACCTGAACTCAGTTTAACATCTCTCCATTAAGAACTCTACCCGGCTATCAGAATTACAAACTTTCGTTAGGCTGTAGGACAGATGGGCAAAGGCCAGTATACATTTGTCTACAAACCTGTATTAATAAAGTAGAAATCTAATTTCAAATCTATGTTTAAAACAGCAGCCTATGACAAAGTTACTGTTAGGTAACAGTCAAGTCATTCTTACCTCACACCTTCTGGACAGGAGTTGTAGGTAAAGTGCAATGGTTTTAAAACATTTTCCAGCAAAGTTTTTGCTATAGGAACTCGAGATAAATCAGAATATTCAATACTTGATGGAAGCTTACTGTTAATCAACAAATAGAGAGATCTATAATATCCTAAAAGAAACAAAAATATCTAAAATGTAGCTCATCAATTAAATATTTTTTTAATATATATACAAATCTTCACGTCTGAATTTAAACTAAGTTTTAACATTCTGCTAAGGAAAACTTGAAATAAATACCTAGATGGCCTGGATGATATTAAAAAAAAAAAATCGAGGCACCCGCATTACTGAAGTGTCAGTGACGATCAACCAGGATCATTTCATTTCACTTACGTTCTCCTTCATTGAGAAGCACTTCTATAATTATTTCAGAGTATCACCAAAAGCCAAGGGCTTAATTTTTATGAGCAATTCATGATCACAGCAAGCACAATTAGCAATTCATTAGTAACAAATACCTAATCAGTTTCTAAACATGTAACAAATAGTACTAAGGCTTATCTAATTTCACTTTCTCCCAAGCATTCAACTAGTTTCGAAGGTTTTTTTTTTATTTGAAAGGCAGGCAAAGAAGGGGACCTCCTGTCCACTTTATTCACTCCACAAATCCTGTCTTTTTCTCCATGGCAGTCACCGAGGGGCTTACTCAGCTGTCACTGACGGGTCCCAGTCTGCAGCAGCACAAAGCTGGAGTCGGGATACGTGGGGACCTTAGCCACATCTTCATTGCTACGACAAAGGCTGCCCCCATCAGGTGGATTTTGTATTTTTCTCAAGTACCATGCTGATACAGTCTTGAACATGGGGCTTTAAGTGCAGAGATTATCTCAATCTACCGTAGCTGTCCCCTTCACGGAGCCTCACCATCTGGTCCCTGGCAGCATGCTGCTAACAGGACAGGACGCCCCAACTCCACCTCCCTGTGTGTCGACCCTGATCTGCAACTGGACATTTCTCTGAGGACCCTTAAGTTCCTTTAAAACGAAGTAAGATATCTGGAGGTCACAATCTGGGTGCCAAGAAGGGTAACTGGTTAAAAATGAATTTACACAAGCAGGCTACAAAAAACCCAGGGAAGATACACGCTGTCTTTTGAGTTCCACTCCCCAGGAATATTTTAGAGCCCCCTTCACATACAAACACAAACAACAACCTTTACAAACTTCGTTGTATTTCCCTTTCTGAGTCACAGTGAGAGTTCGGCAATGAACATAAAGTGGTATGCAATGATCAAACCCTATTTTAGAAACATTTGCCTTCTTTTTATAAAATCAGAAGAGTTCAAATGCGATTTGTGAATTTCTTCATCACTCTACAGGCATGTTGGAGAGCACACACTGGGAAGCAATCCAGGTTGGGAGGCTGGGTGGGGCTTCTCCCTTTATCTCCCCTCCCCCAGACACAGGGAGGAAAAAAAGAGAATGTAGAAACAATGGTCTCACCCACTCTCCTTGTAGCCCTTGACCCTCTGTGCCCTAACCAACTATATGTAAAGATCATCAAAATAAAAGAATAATAACGGAACAACAACAAAAAAGCACAATCCATTTACTTAGGATGTTTTTAAAAACCAGAACGGCACCCTTTGTACTCAGTGCTGGATCACTGCAGCTACTCCGCAGCAACCCCAATTCTACTAACCAGCTGATGACCAACAAAACCCAGTACAGCAGCTGGCGAGTGCTTCTGCTCTAAAGCTAAAAACACGCAACTATGGGGGCCCAGCGCGGTGGCGCAAGTGGTTAAGGTCCTCGCCTTGCATGCCCGGGATCCCATATGGGCGCCGGTTCTATCCCCGGCAGCCCCGCTTCCCTTCCAGCTCCCTGCCTGTGGCCTGGGAAAGCGGTCGAGGACAGCCCAAAGCTTTGTGACCCTGCACCCACGTGGGAGACCCGGAAGAGGCTCCTGGCTTCGGATCGGCATAGCATTGGCTGTTGAGACAAGCCAGTGAAGCCACAGATGCTTTACCAAGGATAAACTGCAGACACAAATCTTGAATCAAAGTACACAGAACAATGTCAGAGAGCATACGTTAATTTTCTTCATTTCTAAGCAAAAGAAAAAATAGACAGTAAACATGTCTCACATTTTAGACTCAGTGGGGCTGAATACTGAATCACTACTCCTGATAAGCACTCCCCTCAATCATGCACAACACATTCGTTATAAAGCATATTTTCAAGCTCAGAGTAATTATACAATTTTAAAAATCAAGAATATCTGTGCTTTATTATGCGGTAATGCCAATCTACAATTCTAATGCTACCTGCTACTTACCATTTTGAATCATGTAGTGCAAAATTTGTTCAATCACGGACACTACATAACTAGCATCTTGTAAAACAGGCAAATATGTATTCTCAGATGAAAAAACCTCAAGCATTCTCATTGGAAGTGCAACATTTAAACTGTCATCATTACAGTTTTGTAGCAGCCTGTAAAAATGAAACAAGTATTTACTGGATGGCAAATGTCACCAAAAGTTCCACCAATTTCTTTCGGTTACCATGCAACCATCTGAACCAGTCTATTCTACTACCAGAGTATCTCAGAAATAGGTGTGACTCAAAGACAATAAAATGATTAAACAAATCCTGTCACTGGATTTTCTTGTAAAGTCCTTATTTTTTTTTTCACAAAAAGAAAAAGATGAAAAAACAAAAATTACGGGTGTTTGGCCAGCAGTTAACACACTACCTAGGATAGCACCTCACATCACGGTGCCTCAATTGATAAACAAAATCTACTCCTGATTCCAATTCCCTGCTAATGACCAAAGCAGCCAGGTGAAGCTGAAGCCAGGATCCAGGAACTCCGTTCCTACCTCCATGTGAACAGCATCATCCACTGCGTCTAAGGTGCTGCCGGGAGCTGGAGCTGGAGTGGACAACCAGACCTCAGACCAGCACTGCAGCACAGCAAGCCACGGTCTCACCTGCTCCACATTAACACTCACCCCTCTCCCTAGTGCTGCGAACAGCCCACAGCACATCATGAGCGTGCAGCATACAGATGTTCTTACTAGAAAAGTTTAAGAACAGAAAAATCCAACAAACAACTGGAAGAGTTGCAGCTGACTAGAACAGGTGAAAGGAAATTATGCAACCATCAGTGCAACTGCTCAGGAGCATACTGAAACAGGGAGCTTTAAAAGCTCTACCTAGAGGACCCGGCGGCATAGCCTAGCGGCTGAAGTCCTCGCCTTGAACGCACTGGGACGCTATATGGGCGCTGGTTCTAATTCCAACAGCTCCACTTCCCATCCAGCTCCCTGCTTGTGGCCCGGGAAAGCAGTCGAGGACGGCCCAAAGCCTTGGGACTTTTACACCCATGTGGGAGACCCGGAAGAAGCTCCTGGAGCCTGGTGCCTGGCTCCTGGCTTTGGACTGGCTCAGCTCTAGCTGCTGTGGCCACCTGGAGAGCGAACCAGTGGATAGAAGATCTTTCTCTATATCAATCTGCCTTTCCAATAAAAAATAAATAAATATTTAACAAAAAAATATTTTTTCCTATTTGTCTAGTTCTTCAAAGATCAGGGAAACAAAGATATTTAAAAGCAAAAGCCAGCATACACATACTTTTCCTCATAATCCTTCAAACCACAACTTCAGCAAGTCACTGAAGTGACTTCTTTCAAATTCATACATATATGAGATCTCAAAATATTTTAATTAATGTTTTATTTATTGGAAAGGCAGACATACAGAGAGGAGATATAGAGAGAAAGATCTCAGTCTGCTGGTTCACTCCCCAAGTAGCCCCAGTGCCAAGAGCTGAGCCAACCCGGAGTCAGGAGTAAGAATTATATTTCAGGTCTCTCTGGCCAGTGCAGGGTCCCAAGGCTTGAGGCCGTCCTCAACTACTTTCCCAGGCCACAAGCAGGGAGCTGAATGGGAAGTGGAGCTACAGGAACATGAACTGGTGCCTATATGGAAATCTGGCTGATACAAGCACTTTAACCACTAGGCTACTGTGCTGGGGCCAAGATCTTAAAATAATACTATGAGTGGCTACCAAAATGTAATTTGGTGGAAACCCATAAAGAATAACTATCACATAAGGAATCCTGTTGATAATCCATCCACAACAATGTATAACACTTGGGGAGGGCGAGTGGGAGCATGCAGTACATAGGAGACTAATCCTCCCGCTGTAGTACCACTGTCCCATATACGTGCCAGTCTGTGTCCTGGGTGCTCCACTTCTGACCCAGTTCGTTGCTTATGACCTAGGAAAGCAGCAGAGGATGGCCCAAGTCTTTGGATCCTGCACCCATGTGGGAGACCCAGAAACAAGCTCTTTGCTCCTGACTTCAGATCAACTTAGCTCTAGCTACAGTGGTCTTTTTTTTGGAAGGGGGGGCGGTGAATCAGTCGATCAAAGAGCTCTCTCTCTCTCTAATATTTGTCTCTTGGCCCCGGCGTGGCAGCCTATCAGCTAAAGTTCTCGCTTTGAATGTGCTGGGATCCCATATGAGCACTGCTTCTAAACCCAACTGCCCCACTTCCCTTCCAGCTCCCTGACTGTGGCCTGGGAAAGCAGTAGAGGATGACCCAACTTGGGACCCTGCACCCACATGGGAGAACCAAAAGCTCCTGGCTCTGGATTAGCTCAGCTCCACCCGCTGTAGCCTCTTGGGGAGTGAATCATAGGACAGAAGATCTTCCTCTCTGTCTCTCCTCCTCTCTGTATATCTGCCTTTCCAATAAAAATAAATCTTTAAGTATATGTGAATACATATATATATATTTGTTTCTCAAACAAAATTAAAGAAACGATAACAAAAACAAAGAAAGAAGGACAAAGTCAATCTAATATTTCATGAAAGAATCAACATTCCTGAAAGAAAATATCATCTGAAAGATAGTTACACCTGTGCTTTGATTTTTAGATCATCCTGATCTGAACTACTTAGAGCAAAAATTGCAATATGCAGAACATGGCCTGTCTCCCATTCTCCACAGCTAGAAAACAGTGTCAGAAAATAAATGCAAGGCTGTCCCCAGACATTCAAAGTAATCGACCCTGTAAGTCCTCACTGGGACCAAGTTACCTGCAGCAGAGGCTCATCAGCCTTTTTATCTGAAATAAGCACGTAAGTCTCTCAGACCCCTCCAGCTGCTTCACAAACAGAGAGTGGTGCTTAATTAAGTTCTGGTACAGCCAGATCTGAAAGAGCAAAACACAGAAAATGTGACTCTCAACAGCAATCTAACGATGTGCTATTTACTCCAGATTCCCTCAGGGGGCAACGAGAGAAAACCTAATTAGAAACATCACAGAGGCAGCATCTGTCCCCTTAACGTCCCTGAGCTCGGCAGCTCGCTCTAACTCCAACTTTCAAGCTCCTACTCATGTGAACCCCGGGAGGCAGCAGCTCATGTCCTTGGGTTCTCAAACTGAAGGCCTAAATTAGGTTCCTGACTCTGGTTTCCGGCTGATCCAGTGCTCCACTTTTGATCCAACTTCCAGCCCAAGATAGCAGTGGAAAGGAGATCCACACTGAATTCCGAGCTCCTGGCTATTGCAGTCATTTCAGAAGTGTACGGCTTTCATCTCTCCGTCACTCTACCATTCAAATAAATAAGTTTTTGTTTTTGTTTTTTTTTTTAAATGAGGCAACTATGGGGCCCAGCGGCGTGGCCTAGCGGCTAAAGTCCTCGCCTTGAACGCACTGGGATCCCACATGGGCGCCGGTTCTAATCCCGGCAGCTCCCTGCTTTCCATCCAGCTCCCTGCTTGTGGCCTGGGAAAGCAGTCGAGGATGGCCCAAAGCTTTGGGACCCTGCACCCGTGTGGGAGACCCGGAAGAGGCTCCTGGCTTCGGATTGGCATAGCATCGGCCATTGCGCTCATTTGGGGAGTGAATCATCGGACGCAAGATCTTCCTCTCTGTCTCTCCTCCTCTCTGTATATCTGATTATCCAATAAATAAATAAATCTTTAAAAAAAAAATGAGGCAACTATGAAAAACTTTACACAGAAGAGAATAAAATCAGTAACACTATTGTGGCGCCCCCTGTAGCTGTGGATTAAACTGCTCCCTGTAGCTGTTGCCATTTGGGGAGTGAACCAGCAGATGGCAAGCCTCTCTCAAAATTTGCCTCTCTCAGGCCCAGGTAGTGGCCTAGCGGCTTAAGTCTTCGCCTTGCACATGCCGGAGCCCATATAGGCGCCGGTTCTAATCCTGGCAGCTCCACTTCCCAACCAGCTCCTTGCTTGTAGCCTGGGAAAGCAGTCGAGGATGGCCCAAAGCTTTGGGACCCTGTACCAGCATGGGAGACCTGGAAGAGGCTCCTGGCTTCGGATCAGCACAGCTCTAGCTGGTGTGGCCACTTGGGGAGTGAATCATCGGACAGAAGATTTTCTCTGTCTCTCCTCTCTATATATCTGACTTTCCCATAAAAATAAATAAATCTTAAAAAAGTCACAAAATGCATACATAAACAACCTAAACAAGAACAAGTGAAAACAGTTGAAACTCACCAATCGTTTTGAGTCCTCATTTTGTTTGTAGAAAAACAGAAGCTGCCTCACTAACAGGGTAAGGTTGGGACCATTAGCAATGGGAAATGTGCCACCAGACTGTGACAAGTTAGCACAGCGATCAAATGCACTTCTTTGGATGGAATACTGGAAACAAAGAAAACAATAAACATTATTATATTTAAATATATGATTCTTCTTATCTTTATAAAACACTAGGTAATGGCCTAGGCCCCTTGCTTCCACCCTGGAAGCACCTAGGCAGCCTAGGAGGGCCTGGGACTCCAGTTGAGAGCCAACAAGCAGAGTAAGTCTGGGAACTGCTGTGACAATTTGGGCCCCAGACTGGCATGCTGGCATGGTGTGCTGGTGGACTGGATTGTAGACTTGCTAACATGCTTTAATCCCAGCTGGATGGAGGGGTTCCATCCCTGGCAGGAATGTGTGCCGGAGGACTGGCTCTGGGATCTAGGGTGGGCGTCCGGGAGGGGCTCCAAGTCAGCACACTGCCCCACCAGAAGACTGGGCAGGGGAACCAATACACAGAAGGACATAGGGGCTGTGGATTGACCAGGAAAGGGGCCATGTGATGTGTGGGAGAGGGGACCGCTGCAGGTGAGGAATGACTTCTGGGCAATTTCTGCTGAGGTCATCGTATCTGCAGGTGAGCTAGAGGGCTGAAGCCAAATGGTTTGGAGGAAGGAAGCTGGAGGACCTTTCTGGATTAGACTGAAACACTTGCCAATGTGGCAGACTTGAGCTGAGATAGTTAGCACTGACCACCACTGACCACCACCCAGTGGCATACACTAAAGTTAGGGCTGGGGTCTACATGGCAGGGTTAAATCATGGCATCTGCCAGTGAGTGTCAAAAGAGGGAAAAGGTAACGTTAGGCTGGGTGACGCCAATAACCAGCACATGAGAACCAGGTCTAGGGGAAGATTCTGTAGGGGATATGTCGGTTCACCCCTCTGGAACTGCAATATCCACTGTTTTGCTCAAGAGCTGCAGTGACAGACTGAGCTATGTATGAAGATGGAACCTCTGACACTCATGGGTACTGTAGCTGGGAACAGGCAGGGCTGGTGCAGGCTGTAGCACCCGCAGGAACACCCAGGAATAGGGTGTAGGGCGGGTTGGACCTCAACATACACCAGCACACAAACAGGCCAAGATAGAGTGGGCAGACTACGCTGGGTAAGGACCTAGCACCCACTGGTAATCATGATATCTGGATCTAGGAGTGGGCCTAGTAGGGGGACTTGAGAACCCCTCTTGTGGGCTGTAGCTCCCGCTGGTGAGCACATGAGTCAGTGCTGGAGGTTGGTCAGCCTGGACAAGAAGACTTCACTTGTCAGGAAATGTATAGGCTGGCTTTGAGGGGGCAGGTGGTTGGGCAGGGCCAGGCCAAACCTAAGCCCACTGGATTGTGCAGGATCCAGGATGGGGTGTGAGCCACACTGGGATAGGCTATCACACGTACAGGTTGGCATGAAAGCCAGCAATACGGACAGGCTGGGCGGAGCTAGGCTGCTGCACCCGTCAGTAAGGGCTGATACTGAGGGTGAACTGGGCCAGGTAAGACTGTAGCATTCCATGGCAAAAGCCAAGACTGGAGATAGGCCATACCAGGGCTCGTTCAGAGCAACCACCAGCACGCTAGGAGCACGCCTGGTAGGGGAGCTTAAGGGATGCCCCAGCTGGTTTGTGGTTCCTACTGGTGAGCACAAGAACTAGAATGAGGGCAGCAAACTGGGCTGAAAATCACTGCAGTCTTTCGGCACAGGTGTGGACTGGGTCTGAGGTGTGCTAGAATGGGCTAGACTACAGCATCTGCTAGTGCTCCCAAGAATCAGAGTGGGTATAGTATAGGCTGGGTTGGGTTTTGGTACCCACTGACCACACAAGAGCTACTTCTGGGGTACAACTGTAACACTCAACATTATGAGCAAGAATGGGGGTGGGCCAATTGGGCAAGGCCACTGTACCTGCCAGGTCAGGTGGGGGTCAAGTCAGGCTGGGCCAAAAACCACCAGTATGTGCAAGATCTACCACTGGAAGGAGACCTATTAGAGCAGCCTGGGAAACTCCTCTGTCAGGACACAGTCCCTGTAGGTGAGCACAAGAACCAAGACGAAAGGCAGCCAAGACTTGGCCAGGTTACAGTACCTGCCAGCATTGTGTGTGGGTCAGGTCTTGGGGCAGCCCAGACAGGGCCAGTTCATAATTCCAGAAGAGTGTTCATAACTGGCAGATTTGAGAACCAGGATGGGGTGCAGGTCAGGCTGGGCTGGGCCACAACACCAGCCATCTGACATTAGGGCCAGGACTGGGGGCTGACTGGGCTGGCCCAGCCTACAGCACCCACTAGCCAATAGGCAAGTAGAGAGTCTAGGGTGGACAATGTCAGCCAATGGACCTCAGAAGGAATTTCTTATCCTTGCATCAAAGAAGTCAACAGCATGTTAGAACTACTGCACATTGGGGACCCGGGGATAACATCGGGTAGACACATCCCATCCCCCCATACTAATGCAGTTAGGATGCTTGATGTGTCTTCTCTCCATCCCCCAAATACAGGAAGAAAAAGAAAATCAAAAACAATCGTCTCATCCACTTTCCCCTATTCCTCAATCCTTCCTACCCTAATCAGTGGTCCAGGTCCACGTGCGCATGCATCCTTCTCAACTATGTAAACATTAAACAACAACAACAACTAGGTATTTTTACATTTGTGAAGGAAACTGGCAACAAGATGCTACTACAAAAGTAACCAATCAAAAATTAAATAGTTTTCACTTGGATCTTCAGCTCTCTTAGGCCATGCTTATATAATATAAAAATTATCTAGAAATCAATTTGCCAAGCTTTACATAGATATAGCTAATAAATTACATATTAGAAAAGATTTTATATTTTGATTAAATAGACACATAAAATATGTACAAATAAATGCTACTTCCAATATATAAAAAAGTTCTTGTGTTTCTTACCCGGTTTGAAAAGCAAATCAACTTACTTGCCGTTTTCTGTCTCTACAGCCTCGAATAAATGACTGGATAATTATTGCATTCTTCAATCTTCGCCTTTCTTCCTGAATTACGAAGGGAACAACTGGTTAGTATCAACAAACATAACATGGGACTAATGAAGATGTTTTAAAAGCCATGTAAGTTGTGTAACTTAAAATATTCTTCTCAGAGCTAGCTTTGTGGCACAGCTAAGCTACCGCCTGCCATTCCTATATGCTGTATGGATATGGGTTCAAGTCTCCACTACTCCACTTCTGATCCAAAACCCTGCCAATTTCCCAGGGAAGTAGGTGAAGATGGGTTAAGCTGGGACCCTGCAGTTAGTTGGGAAACCTGGATGAAGCTCCTGGGGGCTGCTTTCATAATGGCCCAGCCATGGACACTGAGGCTACTTGAGAAATAAATCACTGGTTGGAAGATGCGTACGTGTGTGCGCGCACAACTTTGCCTTTCAAATAAATAAGTCTTTAATATTACAGTTAGGGCACCATCATCGGCACTGAGCTTTACAACGTAATCATCACCTCAGTTTGTCCTCCTCTAGCTCCTATTAAGCATTACCACACTTCTTACCATTTGTTTACTTGTGACATTTCCTGCAACGGAAGCATCCAGTGCCTGTATTTATGTGCAGCTCTTTTCATTGAGCACGAGGTTTTCAAGATTCATTTGCATTTTAGAGTGTCAGTACTTAACTCCTCTTAACGGCCAAGTAGGATTCCAGTGCTTGCATATCTCACATTTTGATTACCTATTTTTTAGCTACAGGACACCTGAGCTATTTGGATCCTACTGGTACATAAAAGGCCTTTTTCTGAAGTGTACTAGAAAAAAAAAAAAAAAACAGTCCACACAGCTTGGAAGGACAGCTTCAAATCAGCTCAATCCTGTAGTGTATTATTCAAGGTGATTTTGTTCCTTTATTTATGAGCACTCATTTGTGTCCCAGCCACTTCACTTCCTATCCAGACCTGTGCTAACGACCTGGGAAGGCAGCAGAGGGTGGCCCAAGGACTTAGAGCACCCTGTACCCTTATAGGAGACCAAGAAGAAGCCCCTAGTTTCTGGCTTTGCATTGGCTCAGGTGAGGCCATTACAATCATTTGGGAAGTGAATCACTAGATGGTAGATCTGACTCTGGCTTTCAAAAAAAAAAAAAGAGAGAGAATCTAATTACTAGTTTAGATGCTATTTATAAAAACCTACAATTATGTTTACGAAACAAAGACAAAGGAACTGGAAAACAAAAAATAAAATTCTAGAGCTAGAATTGAGATCAATGGATATATATTTTTAGATTCATTTGAAAGAATGACAGAGAGAGAAAGAAAGAGATCTCCATCCATTGATTCACTCCCCAAATGTCTGCAATGACCAGGGCCATGTTGTTTGCAGAAGACACCCAGTGGCAAAGGACTGAATCATTCGGGCCATCTCCAACTGCCTTTTCAGGGACATTAGCAAAGAGCCAGATGGGAAGTGGAATAGCCAGGATGGAAAGCATGTTCACACGGGATGCCAGAATTGCAGGCAGCAGCTTAACATATTGCATCACGACTCTGGTCCTTCAATGGATAGTTTAACAAACCATTGCTGAAGAAATAACCTGCAAATTACAAGTCAGGTCAGTAGAAAATGGACAAACTAAAGCAGATACTCAAATTCAAAAGAACACATATGCAGGAAAGCATAGAGGAGACACTGGTATACAGCACAAAGGACTGGGCAGGTGTTGTGGCACTCGTCTAAGGGGCAGCGGTAAGCCACTGCAACACTGGTACAAAACATGAGAACCAGCTGAAATACAACGGTCGCACTTTGGATCCAGTTCGCCAACAACACACATCCAAAGCTGCAGAAGATGGCCTGAAGACCTGGGCCCCTGCCAAGCGCGCAGGAGACAGAGTCCCGGCTCCAGATAGGGCTGTTGCAGTCATCTGGAGCATGAACCAGCAGTTGAAAAATCCTGGTATCTCCTTTTCTCTAAATTTGTCTTTCAAATAAATAAAGTAAATATTTATGTATTTATTTATTAGCACATGGGTAGGAGAGGGAGACTGTAGCACAAGCAATTTTGGAAAATATTATGGCCGAGAATTAAAAAAAAAATTTTTTTTAAAGATGTAAAGCACTAATCAACAAATCTTCCTTCATTCAACAATTCTGGATTTCTACCCAGAAGATGACTGGTAATTTCTGGAGATGTTTTGGGGAAAGAATACTGCTAAACACCCTCCAACGCAGAAGACTGTCCCCAATGAGAGAGAATTATCGGATCAAAAATATCAACAGTGTGAACGCTGAAAACTGCATTTGCTGTGCTTTTCATATGAGACCGTTCCTTGGTTATGAGAATGCTCCTTGGCTGATATCTACGTTCTTTATCACAGAGTGAGAACCTGTCTCTCTCCTCATTATCTACATGTCCAGAAAGACAAAGTCTCAATAAACAGCTGTTATAGCTGTGAACGGATTGTGAAAATAACAAACAAAATCCCTCTCATACCGTAAGTGCTGATTAACAATAGTGGACTAAGCCTCCAGTGTGGCACTGGACGTCCACAGAGGTGCCAGTCCGAGTCTCAGTTGCTCCACTTTCACTCCAGCTGCCTAACTGTGACCTGGCAAAGCAGCGGAGGACAGCTCAGGTCCTTGGGACTGCATCGTGTAACCCAGGAGACAGTCCCTGGCTTCTGACTGGCCCAGTACTGGCTACTGTGGTCATCTGTGGGGAATGAGACAGCAAACAGAACAACTCTGTCTCTCTGTAACTCTGCCTTTCCAATAAAAATGAAATAAATCTTAAAAACAAAAATCATCTCCAGAAAGATAGAAGATAAAAAGTAAAGGCAAGAAGGTTATTAGTTTCCTTTACTGTATTCATAATTAAAATATATATAGTGAGCTTAACAAAACATGAGCATTACATACCACTCTTTTTTAAAAAAAGGTATTTATTTTTATTGGAAAGGCAGATTTACAGAGAGAAGGAGAGCAGAAAGACCTTCTGTCTGCTGGTTCACTCCCCAAGCGGCTGCAACAGCTGGAACTGAGCCAATCCAAAGCCAGGGGTTGGGAGCTTCTTCCAGGTCTCCCACACGGGTGCAGGGTCCCAAAGCGTTGGCTGTCCTCGACTGCTTTCCCAGGCCACAAGCAGGGAGCTGGATGGGAAGTGGGGCAGCTGGAACCAGCACCCATATGGGGTCCCAGTGCATACAGGGCAAGGACTTTGGCCACTAAGTGGCTTACCATGCCAAAGCTACAGGTCAATCTTTACAGATCATATGGAAACCTTATAAGCAAGTAGATCATTCAGGCCCATCTTTTTCTGACTGGCTTCAGGACAAATGACTTAATACCCCAACAATACAGAAATTCCTCTAACACACACACACACGTCATGCAGTGCGCGCACACACACACATACAAACACACACACACACACACACCAAGATTAACTTTTAAGAGAATTAAAAAGTGCTTTTACCTCTCTCTTTCTTCTTTCTTCCTGAGTACGATGTAAAAGAGAAGCCTTTTCTTCCTAAACACAAAGAGAGAAAAAGCAATGAAGGTTTTACTTTTAAAATCCAAATTTAAAAATTGCCGAAGTTTGGCCCAAAAGTGATTCCAAAATAACAAAAATTTTCAGCCTAAGTAGGATGAGACATCTGAAGACACATGAGGTTTAAAGTGTTTCAGTAGTTTTCTAGGAATAAGATCTGATTTCTTCACAGACGCACGTGGAACAGGAACTTTGATTAAGACAAGTGTAGTAATGTCAACGTACAGTTCCGTACAACATTACCTCCAGAGAAACCTGGCAACGTGAATAAGGGATCTCTCTGTCCTCTCCGCAGTGCTGTTTTAGAAAGATTTATTTAAACTGCAGATTTCTGGAGGCAGCAGCAGGAGGGGCAGGGAAAGTGAGCGGAAAAGAAGAGCCATCTTCCATTCACTGTTGCCTTCCCAGAGGGCCGCAATGGCTGCAGCCGGGCAAGCCTGAAGCCAGGAGTCACACAGGTATCCCGCACGGCTGGCAGGGAACTCAGTACTCAGGCCATCTTCCACTGCTTTCCCAGGAGCACCAGGCAGGGAGCTGCACTGGGACAGATGTCACAGTTACAAGCAGTGGCTTCATCAACTGTGCCATGATGCCAGCCCCCCTAGTATTTCTAACAGCCCTGTGAGTTTACAACCATCTCAATGATTGTAAGGAAAAACGGAATGTCTTTATTGCTATCACGTTTTAAAACTCTTTTTAGGGGTTGGCACTGCTGCTCACAGTGACGTCATGCCATGTGCATGCCCAAATGCTCCCCACTACCGCGCATGGGAAAGCACCCAGGGCTAGCCACGGACAGCCCAGGCTCTTAGGTCCCCGCCCCGAGGGAGACCAGCACAGCGCCAGCTGCTGCGGTCACTGAGTGAACCAGCACATGATCGCCTTTGACTCTCACTCTATTTTTTAAATAAATTAATTGACCTTAAGTAAGATATTTTTACCACAAATAAAACCAAGTTTTAACTCAGGCAGCAAAAGAAACAGAAATCATAACAGAAAGTTAAATACTTAAATAACCAGGAAAAAAATGAAAAGTCCAAGACTGCACAGGAATCACTAAAGAAAAAAGAAAACAATAAAACTAAACCTCACAACAGACACATACCACGTCATCAGAGCTTCAGGGTAATTACACTAATTTATATGTAGTGGTATTTGAACAACATGTAGAATCAAGCTTCTCACTGCTAACAAAAGCCAAAGAACAGTCCTCCATTATCACACAGTTTTCCAACAAAATGCTATACGAAGATTCAAACTAAAAGCCTTATGTATCTGTCCAAAGGGAGAAACACTTTTCAGACTTTAACAGCTTAAACACTGCTGTTTAAACAGATTTTTTAAATCTTTTAAAACTAATTTTAGACAAAAGCTGTGAATGTGATGCAAGCCCCTTCCACCCTTGTCCACTCACATAACCACGTACAATCGTCAGCAGAAAACCCACACTGGCACAACAGCATTATCTAAGCTGCATTCTTTATTAGACATTCTCCCATTTTTCCCATTAATGATCTGCATCTGTTCTAGAATCTTTCCTAGGTTCCACAATGCATTCTTTGCATTTCTTCTTCATCTACTTGGTCTTGGTCTTTCATTTCTGGATGCTGTCCGTCACTTTAAGTTTCTCCAGTAAATTCTCATGATTAGAGTAAGGCTGTAGGTTAAATTTTAATCAATACACAATGATTTGGTATTTACAATAAGTAATCAAATAAAGCAAGGAAAACAAAACTGAGTTAATAGGGGAAGAGAATAAAGAAGAATGAGCTAACGCAAGGAAAGACAGTAAATTTGCATTATACATTTAGACATCACTCAAGTGATCAGGTAAACACCACCAGTAATGAAACAGAGGGAAATCGCGACTATCATCACCATCTGATGTCTAAACACCTCCAAAGGCAGCATTGTGTTAAGACCTTAAAAGCACCTGCTGTTGTCCAATGCTGTCTCACGTTTTCAGTCACTTGGACTGGCCCAGACCCTACTGTACGCACAACACAAATGTAGATGGTTCAAAACGCCTCCCAAGTTCTCCAAGCTTCACATCTCTATCCCAAGAGCAACTCAGCCTTAGTAGCATAACATGCAGCCTACAATGAATCGCATTTCTGAAGGGGGCCTATGTAAACTTACAGCTACCCTAACATACGATAGGTGCCTTTACATACCTATTTCCTCCCCAAAAGAAGAAAATAAATAAAAAACAAATAAAAGACTCATTTCCCCATGGAGCTGTAACTTTGGGAATGATTCCCTGTGGTCTCTTTGCTGCTTAAAACAAATTACTGGAGCCCACACTGTATCTTAGCTAATTAAGTCACCACCAGCTGGAATTCCTGGCATCCCAATAGGATTCTGCTCCACTTCTGATCCAGCCCGCTGCTAACATATCTGCCAAAGCAATAGAAGACGGCCCAAGTAACTGGGCCCCTGTATCCATGTGGGAAACGAAGATGAAATTGTTGGCTCCTAGCTCCTGGCTTCGATTTGGCCTACCCTGGTCATTGCAGCAATTTGGGGGAATGAAGCTAATCAAAGATTTCCATCTCTTGCTCTAGGATCTCATTCTTGTTCTGTCTCTTTCTCTCTGTAATTCTGCCTTTCAAAAAATGTATAATTTTTTTAAATAACAAAAACATGATCTTGCATGACAACTCATTGTGGTACATTTCTTAGAATCCACCAGAAAGTGGGCTTATAGTTTCTGGTGGATAATAGGGCTACTTGACAATACCAAGGAAACAAAACAACTAATGCTACTTTTGCCCTCCTTTTTAAAACTTAAAACACATTATTTCAAGGGGAAATCTTGTCTCACTAGTCCAATTGGGAAAACATCACCTATCATAAAACAGAAGGTCCCTTAAAAATAAGCACAAAGAAGATAAAATATTAATCACAGTAGCCACAATGGGGCCCATCAACCAAGGTGTCCATCAACAGAGGAATGGGTACAGAAATGTGGAAGATCTACACTTTCTTAAACAATGAAAAAGAATGAAACCCTTTCAAATGCAGCAAAACGATGGAATTGGAGGATATTATGTCAAGTGATAAAAATCAAGAAAAATCCTACATGTTCTCCCTCATATTTGGAAACTTTAAAAAGTCAATGTGAACTGAGAATGTATATACTAGCAGATGGGCGGGGTACTGGGTACAGGTACTGAAGTTCTTCAGAATGTGACGTAACACGATGACTACAGTCCTTGACAGCCTACTATATATTCTGAGCAAACAAATGATAGGAGTTCCATGACTGGTCATGAAGCAATCTCAAAGAGGAGGAAATGCTAACTGCCCCATCTGACCTGTATATATCATATACAGAACTGAAATGTCACATTGTACTCCATACACATTAAATTGTTGATAATTTATAAAAATATTTTTAAAAATAAGGAAGATGAGAAATAAGAACGAAATTTGCAAAAGAAATTAATAAATTCACCTTAAGAAGTCCCATCTGAAATGAAGCTCCTCAAAGCAACAGAACTGCTCCTAGTGGGGGCCTGCAGAGTGGAGCACCTTGGCAGGCCTCAGTACCTGCCCCAGGGCAGGCTCCAGCTGCTCCGCTCCTGTTAGCACCTGGACAGCAACAGAAGGCCGGAGCCCTGCCACCCTGCCACCCTGCCACCCACACGAGATCTGGATGGAGTTCCCAGGCTCCCAGCTTCAGTGGCACAGGCTGCTGTTTCAACTTAGGGAGTGAACCAGCAGATGGAAAACTTTCCTGGCTATCCCTTTACTCTGATTTTCAAACAAATATAGAAATCTTTAAAAGGAAAAAGAACTGCTTACAATAACAAAAAGGAATGTGAGGCTCAAGACCATTAGACAATTTTTTAGACACTGACATTTAACCAACATTTAGACTAGAAAAAGTATTCACCTTCACTGAAAGACTTGAATTTCAAAGGAAAATATCATTGTTTTTGAGTTCAACAAATTTTTTATTTCAAGAACCTATCCAGGGGCCAATAACACTGACAAACATTCCTTAAACCCCACCAAACTTTCCATAATATGTGTGGCCAGCACTAGACTTACAAAGTGACAGTTAGCAGAAGGGCAAAATTCCTCTCTCGCCCCAGGGAAAGCAGGTCAATGGGGAAAAAAGGAGGGTTACGCAGACTTCACACACACACACACACACACACACACACACACACACACACACACACACACACACACACACACACACACACACACACACACACACACACGAGACTAACACTACCAAGACTTGGCTAAGCCTTGGGTGTCTGGTTCTAAGCTTCATCATTCATTGTACTGTAAAGACAATAAAATCATAGGGTCACTGTTCATTTTATTTGGTTGCAGATCTTTCAGAGGGGAAATAAACTAGAGCTATCAATTACACCTCTTGAGTGGGGAAACTTAAGCTGCAAACAAAAAAAACAAACCAGAGTGTAATCTTCTGAATGTGTTCTTCTGAGTAGTACTCACTTTGTAATAAAAGGGACTAGGAAAAGCTGTTTTTTGTTTCTTCGTTTTTCCGTTTTTTTTTCCCCCCTTCACCACTGCCAACTGGCTCAGGAAAGCCCAGAGATTTTAATTCTTAACTTTTTAAGAGAGATAGTCCAAACACTTTTTCAAGTTTTTAGGGTATGTATCCCATGTTGAAAAAGCTTATCCATCCTCTGCGAGTTCTGGGTTTTTTCTTCCCCTTGAGAGAATTCTTTATAGATCTGCTACGCTGTAAATATCAGACTTTTTCTATATGCTCTCAGGGAGGGAGGACTGTCCATAACAGCAGAGGTAAGGTAGCTAAAGTCATATCTGCCTTTAGCAAGCGTGATTATGTGACACTCTTCGATAATGCGCCACAATAATCGTAATACGTAAGATGAACAAGATTGGCTTTGGTTATAAATGGGAGGTTTTGTTTTGGCCAAATTTCTAATGTTGAAATACCTTATACTTGAGCTATACTCTACTTCTGCGTTTCC